GCCAATGCTTAAGTGGCAAAATGTTAAGAGGGAGTTGAAAACCAAAAAGCAAAAATTTTAATTAGCTCCTCAAGCTCTTGGCTTTTTTTATGTAATTTAAGAAATACTTTTAGTCGTTTCATTTAAATTGCCTTAAATCTTATCATTTATTCCAAAAGGGAAATGTGAATCGTAATGTATATTTCTAATCATTTCTTGACTGTCACTTGTGAATTTAAGTAAAATATTTCATCACCATAGTGCTCATAATCTATTAATTGTTTTATAAATGACTGATGTAAGAAAGATATTACGAAACAATGATTAGAAATATGTTAAAAATGCATGATCGTTGTTATTGCGATAGATTACTTCTAAAAAAATGCTTGCTTATAAATTAATGGCACGTACAATAAAAAATATCTAGCCTTCTGCAAGTCATATGTGACATTAAAATCGAGATCAATTATAAGCATGAGAAATTAACATTCACGAGGCTGGAAATTCTTAAAGATCTATTCGCACTTCCCCTGACAACTACTTTGGTTTACATGTGGGTTTGTAGCAATAATAATATAGATGTGTTGCGTTCAAAACATTTCCAATACGCAAATATTTGCTCCGATGATTCATGGACACAATGATAAGCTATAATTCAACAAAATTTCAGCTCTTTTATTTCCAGTGTTTCGTGTATGCAAGAAATGGCATACAAAGATGTCGAAGATGTCTTACAATTTTGCCTTTTTTACTTACAATTGTAAGACAATACAAAGATGTCTTACAATTTTGCCTTTTTTACTTACGATTTGTAAGTCTCGTGTGATACTTTGTGGTGCACGAGGATTTCTTTTTCTTTAAATAAAAAAAAAAGATGTCGAAGCAGTAAAAGGTTCAGAAGACTCTGTAAGATTTATTTTAATTAACACATTATATCCCATATTAAAATCTGTCCTACACTTCTGTTTCATCTACTCCACTAGACTATATAAATGAGAGGAGTTTCAAATTGAAGTAAGAATCTAAATTCAAGAGAGGGAACAGAAATTCCAGACAGCCTGAAACTCTTCTGTGGTTGTCCGACTCCAGTATTATCGATAACAGTTCGTGAGTTTCCTCTATTTAAAAACTTCATTTAGCAGTATAAGTGCAAATAGCCAATACATGACCTTCATAATTAATTCATTTCATTCATTTTTGTCTCTAATTCCCGAGAAAAGTGAAAAGTAAATGTGCGTTAATTATTTTAGTTCAGTGTATCGAGACTAAATCAAAATAAATCTTAAATCATTAGGTTATTGTGAAGCAGGAGATATGAAAAATGAGCAATGCCCTCGCCGGGACTCGAACCTGGACCTCTCAAATACGCGCCGATTGAGCTACCATTATACCCCGAAGGCATGTAGAAAGAAAGGTGAAAATACTTCATAAGTTGTTTCATTTATGTTGTATTTACTTAAACTGGTACTAATAGATAAAGGCAGGATGAAAATTCGAATGGCAGTCTAAAAGTTTAGTATTTAAATTAAACGAAACTGAGTATAATTCTAGGTTTAAATTTTTTAGGAAAATAAAAGGTTTTTATCGCGTTAAAGTAAATGACTGAAATATGCTTTGGCAATGGAAAGTTTATCCTATTCTTTTTTTATCCAATAAATATTACGTCTAAATATTAATTAATCATTCTAACTGAGCACTCGTGTTTCCCAGTGACACGAAATAATCCCATTGCAGCCTGGGGCTACAGCACAGCATAATTCATGCAACCAAAGCAAAATGGCGCAACTCCGGCAACCCATCAAACCACTAAGGAAAAGAAATCGCAACTGTTGAAACTAGAAATAGCTTTCGCGGTACATCCAAACGCCAAATTTCCATTGTGTTGATGTTGTCAATAACCGATGGCAGCAAGAAAAATGCGCCTTGGGCTTTAGATGCTTAAAAGATGTGATTCTCAGAACTGCTTTGAACTCACTGTCCATGCGTAAAAAAATCTTACGTTATCTAAGTGGCGAAATGTGGATGCGAAAAACATTGATACGTTTTTCAATGAAAAGTCTCAAAATAGAAAGGAAATCATCTTAGATAAATTATTTTGTTCAGGCTGTCCATGTTATTTATTTAGTCATTATCACTCGCTTTCCAATAATTTTCATCTTTATTAACTTCATAGCTTAGTTCTGTTGGTGATAGAATATTGCTAAAAGATTAGTAATTGAGTAGAAGATAAATAAGGCATTATTTTAATTGGATTTGTAATTTTACTTGTGTTACTTATTTCCAAGATTAAAAAAGAAAGCATTTATACGTTATAGCATCCCTCTTTATTTCAGAACATTTCGAAACAGCACTATGATGTCATTTGCATATGTGTTTCTAAATTTTATACCTGAAAGACTTAAATTTGCATTTAAATTTACTTGCATTTAATTTTACTATCAGCTCAAAAATACGGAATGCACAAGAAAATTGTTTGATTTGCTGTTCCAAAAATTTTCTCGGTTAACCTAAATAATCTTTATAATCTACTCATCTCACGAAATAACTGAATAGAGATAACAGTATGATTCTATCTTCAATTATCAATATAAATGCAAATAGTGAAATAATCATATGCATGTGAACTAAAAAAAAATAGCAAAAAAATACTAATATTAAATAAAGAGAAATGTGTACATATCCAAAGGTTAGTAACATTAAGGTTAGTACATTTCTAAGCATAAATTTAAAATTAAGGCTTCCTCATCATAACAAACTTTTTCCTCTTATATAGTAAAATAATATAACACAGAAATTTGTGCAAAATAAGCCGCCAAATTCTTTATTCTAAAAGAGATTCTAGATTTATCAGCTTTAGAAGGTCTATTTAAAATTATTTCATATAAATTACATGAAACGGAACTGATGATGTAGCTCATTTTAAAAAATCAAGGTCTTTTGTTGTCATAAGATGATTTCGTAAAGACAACTCTTATTAAACAGCATAATATCACAAGCTTCCGCTTTTCCTTTCATTCGGTAAAACAAAAACATCAGTCAGTAGTCAGAACCAATGCCATCTTGGTATTGTAATCGCAATAATGTTTCATAAATCTTCCATTACATGGTATTGCTAGTCATAAAATCATGTTTTCTAAATTTCTTCTGCCAAAATTTTTTGTAAAAAATTCCACCAACTGGCAGATTAAATTTCCTAAATTCCCTATTCGAATACGTAAAAATATGCCTATTTTAGTTACTGATATTTAGTTAATGATTTAGTTAATATTTTAGTTGAGGATTTAGTTAATGGTTCAAGAACACAATTAAGAATAAATATGCGCTCAGCCGCATTAGAGACTACACTACCATTGCTAAAAGCATTGCTGACAATCTAAAGTGACTTCTTTCCTTGGACACCATGCCGTCAGCAGCCTGATCTGTACATATATTGATTTACTTAATGTCTTGTGTTTTTTTTTGTTTGTTTGTTTGTTTGTTTGTTTGTTTGTTTTGCTGTTTTTAATTATATTTAATATTATGACTAATCCAGAACTCATTTAATGTATTCTACAATTTGTAATGTATTTGGTCATCTTTACATCTGTACCTGATTTTTATAGCATATCCTTAATATAACTGTATGTCTAACATGTACGATAATAGTGAAATGTGTTCCGCTTAGTCTCAGCAGTCTCCACCATGCACCTTCTTTCCACGGTCTGGTCTTCCCTTCAATGTTCCTCGTTTCGTGGCCAATCCCCGGAGGACACAGTACTAAGCTCTTTATTTATATTTATTCATGTATTTTTTAAAATTCCATCTACGGGATCCAACAGGCTGAAAAGCACCTAACCCAGTGGGCCAGCTGTTCCGTCGATGGTGAAAAGAAAGAAAGTTAATGATCCCAATTCTAATCCTTATTTATCTTAAAAGAGTTTAATGTTTGAACCTTTTTTGTTCTACTGTTTCCATCTTTGTTTCAGTGCTATTATGCTAACCCCTTTTTTGTTATACCTCTTTTAACAACCCCTGACTTGATTTAGATTTTTTACACAAATAGCATTCATTTGCTAGCGACCAAACAAAGCATTCGAAATATACGCTGCAAATTTTACGCCAGTTATCATTACTAATTTCCTCATGTTTCTAATTTATCTTAATTGGCGGACATTTCTCAAAATCTGGACTTTGCTTCATTAGTAAAAATAGATTTATCTTTAAGGATACGAAAAGCCAGTCTCCCAGATTTCTAATTAATCAAGAGAAGAAGTATTTTTGAATAAATTTAACTTATTAATAGTAGTTTTGATAAACTTTTGAAATTAATTAGTCTAAAATAAGAATGAATACATGTCATGAAACGTCGAATTATAAAATTTCATTAGCAGTATGCTTTTATGCTTACCGAACTTTATAAATTCAGAAATAAAATGGATTGAAGTTTTATTGAGTAATATTTCAATGAGTCTGATATGTAAACAGGAGATCCAAACGTGATTGAAGAGCTTGTTACTTGTGCTATACTAATAACTCAATAAAGTGCTAGTGCAAAAATAGTAGCTAAGTAGAATGTTTTAATTTAAGATAGGCCGATAAGCTTTTAAATTTGCCAACATAATAAATATTTAATCTATCATTCCCAGAAACCAGCAAACTAACTTCCTAGCCTTCAAACTAGCATTCTAAAACGTCGAGTATTTTTCTGGTAATTTATTAACGTTTTGCGATTCCAGCTTAAGGAATCTGCTACTTATTACTGCACCAAATGCTCTACTTAGATGTCCTCTTGTCATATAAAATGGATGTTCAGTGTTCCTTCTTTAATTAATTCAAAGTTATTTTATACTCTCTTAACATTTATTTTTGTTCTAAATTTAAAACTCGTTGTTTGTATTATAATGGAAACACAATAGTGGCTTTTACAATTGAAAGGGCTTCACTTTTCTCCTTTATTTCAGATAAAGGGTAATTAAAAATAACCGATACATTTAACCATGAAAAATATTACTTTCAATTTTTTTTTCAAAACTAATCATTACTTTTGAAATAGCTGCATGTCCTAAAATATCATCTGGGCTTGTCGGTTCTTCGATCCACAGAAGATTAAAATCAACAAGTTCCTTCATCCAAGATACTGCTTCGCTGACGTCCCATTTCTGGTTGGCATCTACCATCTATTTTAAAAGGTAAAATTACAGTAAATTTTTTAATGTATTCATAAATTGTATAATCTCTGTAAATCATTATAAGTTCTAATTTTTATTCTTTATCGATAAAAATGCCGTTTTTGTACAGAAATTCAGTAATCACATTTAGCACAGATATAAAGAACTTAAATTAATTTTCCAAACATTTTTGGAACAGTATTATTAAATTCAACAATACTCATATTTTTATCTATTATAAGGAATATAAATCAAAATAATTTATTAAATGTTTGATTTTATACAAATTATAGAACATAAAAACCAATTCCAAACTATGTTCCATAGAAACTGGGGCCCTGGTGCTCTAGTAGGGCGACTCAATTGTAGTAACTGGGAGTTGACTGCTTTATATTTAGGTTTAATTGCGTATTTAAGCTGTAAGGCCGTATATATACGGCCTAGAATATTTCTGTAATATCTGTAAGAACGTATATATACGTGCATATTAAAATATGTCAAAGAAATTAAGGAAAAATTAAAAAAATCAAAAGAAAACAAATCCAGGTATGAAATACCAGGAGAGTTTTTACATTAAAACCAAAAAAATAATTTTTTCTCATATTAATTCTTGGAAATTTGTGCTTTCTTAGCGAAATCCCTGAGCGCTCAGAGGTTTAAACTGCACAGTGAATCCCATTTACTATAAATGAGTTTATTATACAGTAAAAATATATTTGTTATAAATCTACATAAAGCACTATTAGCATATCATAAAAAACTGATTATCAGTACTAAATATATTGAAGCAATTATTTAGAATGTAAACACAATTTTTTCTCATTATGTGAGGATCTTGCTAGTCTCTCTAGACAAGAATTTAAGAGCGAGTTGAGTATTTGCTCTGTCCTAAACATTTTGCAGACTGAATTAGTCACGCCATTTATGTTTTTTTGGTTGCATTTTACATCACCTGATTAGTAATAGTCGAAGACAAGATCAGAGGAGCCGCAGAATCTTCATAGGTTCTTCAGCTCCTGAAAATCGAGAGACTTTGATAGTAGACACAGTGCAGATCGTTAAAATCTCTTGACACTTGAAGTTATGACTTTTTTAATGTCAAATAGAGGAATTACTGAGCAAGTTATTGTATCCGTAATATCATAGCATGTAGTCTCATATCTCGCAACAGCTCGAAGACTGCGGCTTGTGAGGGGACCACACACAGGAATTTCTTATTAATGAGTTGTGTGCCGCAAACCCGTAGAATCCTTAAAGAGCATAAATCCGTAGAAACCTCAAAATTAGAAACCCACAGAAGTATTAGAACTCCTAAAAAATTTAAATAGCACAGAAATTATAAGATTATATAAGTGCAATTTCTTTTTATTTTCTCTGCCCATATAAACTGCGTAAAAATCGAAAAAAATTATACAGTATTTGCTGGAAAGTCTTTCATTTGAAGTTTTACAGACTAGCAAATAATACATGAAATGTAAGCAATGGTTAGTTACCACTCTATCCATCGTTCGCTTCAAGTGCGAATAGAAAAAACGCTGTTCAGACTGTCTTCTTTGATCAAGAAGTAATGATGCATACATAGAATGCAAAAGCTATGATTGAAAATGGAGTAAAAGGTTTGCGCTACCACATTGACTGTACTATCAATAAATAGAATTATTTTAACTTAGCAACTGAATCTCTCAATAAGTGTTAAACAATAAGTGTAACCATTATCTGTTGGTAATGCTCCGTTTAAAACAATACGGACGTATTCAAATCTGCTGTTAATGATTTCTTTGTTGTAAACAGGAATTCTTGTATGTATGTTTGACAATGAATGCATGGCTTTACGCATAAGCGAACATTCTTTTTAACTGAAAGACAGATGAAACAGTTAGTTATCAATATAAACAGTTAGTTATCAATATATAACAGTAGCTTTTATTCTTGTGCAAGCTAACTGAGATATAATGAGTTTGAAACAAATCTTCTAAATGCAGAAAAGAGGTGTGGTAGAATTATTCTTTCCTGCAGAAACATCTCAGTAAAGTTTAATACTGATATCTTGCCAGAATATGGGGTTTAATAGTTGCAAGGAGAAGTCCTTGGACTTAATCAGTCCCCTGGATCATTATCTTTTTTTTTTAGATTTTGTTATTCGAGTGTATGCTAGTGTTCTAAGTATTGAAATAGCCGCTATCCGAGATAAAACATCCAATAATCTTTGCAGATATTCGATATTTATCGGGAACGAAAATATTTTTGGTTCCCGATAAATATCGAATATCAGCATTGAACTGCGCTATGATATCTAAATGGCATATCTGTCTAGCACATTTACCTAAGTTTTGCTTAAAGAAATAAACGTAAGTGGTCTAAGGTCTGTAAATGGGACAATATTTCGACTTTTCACATGTGTTTGGAATGTTTCACGGTGGCGTAAATTGCTTATAGTTCTCTATCAAGAGTTGACGACTTTCGCTGCGATGGAGAGAAGTTTACGAAAAAAAGGAGATATCAACTGCATTTCGTATGTTTATATTCTGCAAAGATTATTTGAGTTAATGATTCTCCAATAGCTTTGTCACTGCCATCGAAAAATAAAACTAGAATGTTCGGTTAGGATGTGTAAGTAACATTGTGACATGTAATGATCTCTACTGAAACATCACTACAAATGAAATGCAGAATCACTGCAAATAAAATACCGAAATTTTATCTAAAAGCGTTCTGCAAGCCTTCCTTTAGTTATTCAAACATTTCCAAGATGATAATAAAATGCTTGCTATAATTATCGAATCCATCGAAGCCTGTTAACAGGCTAATTCGAATGATTCAATAAGTTCGAAAAGATTCGGCACATTTTAGATAAACATATATCCGTACGAATTAAAAAATGCATCAAATAAAGAAGAGAAGCTGATATTTTTAGAATATCGTCAAAGTGCTGTATAAGGAATGTTACAGATATCTTGTTTCATTCCTTATTTCCTAGGTTATTGCCCTAACAGAAGATCTTCTTTCTTTTATGTGTCTTCTTTCTTACAAGTGTTACGTGCGTACAACATTTCCCTAAAATTTTACATAATTTTAAAACTGCATCATTACTGCTATGGAGAAGTAACAGTGATTGGAATAAATATGGCAAGTAACTGATTATCTTCTTAACGTATTTTATGTAAACTGGAGAAGTCTTAAAAAGCACTTGAAAGTAAGATCCGGAAAATGTCTTTTCTTTCATGCATTACTTTTGAGTTTACTTTTTTTTAGTCCTCAGTTCTTAAGCATAAAAAGGAATTATGTATTAAGCTACAAAATTTGTTGCATTAGAGTATTTTTTTAACTTATAACAATGGTGCAAAAATATTCGTGAAATATATCAGTTTAATACATTATAAATTAAAAGTATTTATATATCAATTAGATATCTTTCTCAAAGAATAAGATAAATATTCAAAGTATTAATAATTACGAGTATTTCTTTTAAATGACTCAGTCTGTTAAGCTGCGCAGTTAAAATTTGAAAGGTTTATTATTCCGTTTATTATTAATTTATTATGGCAAAGAACACTAGGGCTATCTGCCTAAGGGTAGGGATGCCTTCGTGGAGGACTTTCTAAGGGAAACTGGCTCGTATACACGTTACACATGTGGAAAACCACGAAAACGCCCAAGCAGCCAGCCCGTTTGCAGGATTCGAACCTCTAAAATTTGAAAGATAAATTAAAGAAGTTATATTATGTCGAATGAGAGCACTCTAAACAATGACTATTTGCAAGGTTGCGTGGTAGATAAAGAAGTTTCGCGCAACGGCAACAGTTCCTAAATAATACGAATGATAAATGCATGGTAGACCAATATAAAATAACATGAAATCCAAAAACTTTTAAAAAACAGCTAAAATCGTTTCCAAAGTCAAAAAATGGCCTCTTGAAATTATGTTAATTATTTTTAATAACTCTGGATATATCATCTTTTAATCCTCTCTCTTTGTCACTTTATTTCTGTGTATGTTCCTATTAAATATGCGTCACAATGCATCAAAAACTATTTTAACTAAAAATGTACACTTGGAAAAGCATTAACTTTTGCCTATAACATTGATATCCTAATCCTAAATTCCCATAACTTATGAATTGCTTTAATTTAAAAAAATTATTATGTTTTTAAAGTTCGAAGTTTAAAAAAGTCTCTTAGAAATCGTAATTAAAACAACTCTTTAAGAGAAAATGCAAGCAAAAGCTTTATATTTCGTCTTAAGCTGCAAATATTTATAAAATATTAGCCGTCTTAAATCGCAATAACTGATAAATGAAAAAAACTCACGTATTTTAAGTTCGGTAGTGTTAGTAATAGAAATATCATCTGCAGGATATTTGTTGTATTGTTACTGCGTTATACATAGTCTTCCTTATTATTCTTTTATCTTTAAATCCTATGTAATTGTAGTTCTTTGCGTCTAGACGAATCTAACAAAAATTCGAAGTACTCTCTTGTATTCTCTTTTACTTTACTTTACTAACTACTTACTTAAACTGAACTTACTTAAAACTACTCTTACTTTTGTTTTTAACTATAATTCTTCTCGTCTGTAGACACGAGGTCTTAAGTATTTTCTTACTCACCAGTATATTATCTTTACCAATTTCTTCTCTTATTAAAGCCAGTCTTCTTTTGTCACTTTCAATACTTTGACCGACTTTAGCTTTAAACCTTCAACAGAAATATGAATTATACATTATTAAACGTTTCTTTTGTTATCAATAATGTGCAAAGAGCGCAGAAACATTAAATTTTCTTGAGTAATCTACATAATAATTTAATAAAATAAAATACTTCCGGATATTTGCTAGCGTTCGAATTTTAAGCTCTAATATTTAAGGAAAGTATTTGTGTGTAACTGGTATGAGTGTGATGGAGTTTAGCAGACTCTTATAGAAAATTACACGATTCTTTAATACTTTCCATATGAACAGTTATTCAAAGATATGAACTTAAATTTTATTTAAAATAAAATAAACTTTCATTTTTACTTTTATTTCAATATAATGCAAGCACTGAGATGCATATGACATTTCTCTCGATAAATAAAAATGTCATCAAGGGATGTTTAATTTCCTAGGACTCCATATATGAGATTTATAGAATTTAGATGCCCATTTGATGCAGTCTAAAGCAGAAGAATGAATATTGTAGACAGGGGTACAGATTTTCTCTCGAAATCAGAGAGCTTTTTTACTAAACTATTTTTAAAAAGCATCAGTTTACTAAAATATCAGTTTACTAAAAATTTTTAGAAAACTGAATTCGTTTCAATGGAGGTATCCGGTTTTCAAATATGTTCTTGTATCTTTGATTATGATATCAAGACTTAAATTTCTCGTATAAATAAATTTTTTTATTAATATTAATATTATTATAATAAACTTTGCACAACTGAACCTTATAAGGTATTTCTCCCGCCTTCTTGGCAAGCCTTCGTGGTGTGCTGGTTTACACGCTGGGCGCGTATTCCAGAGTCCCGAGGTTCGATTCCCGAAGGCGTTGCTCATTTTTCATCTTGCTTGTTTCCAAAAAATACCTAATATCTATACAGTGGCGCTCGAACTAAAAGGGTGTTGGATGATGATTCTCCACACCCAGGATTTGGCGATTGGGTTTCCTAAAACGCCAGTCGCCCTTTAAAAGGGGAAGTATATAATGTATTTCTCCCGCCTTCTTGGCATGCCTTCGTGATGTGGTGGTCTGCACGCTGGGCGCGCATTCCAGAGTCTACGGTTCGATTTTCGGCGACGGCGTTGCTCATTTTTCTTCTTGCCTGCTTTCAAAAAATACCTAATGTCTCTACAACCTGAATTATTAATATTTACATATGGTTCATGATTTCCTCTTTTTTTCTATAAATGTTGAGCTTTCATTGTTTACCTTTTATCACATTTGTTGTAATCATGGAAACAGGAAGGATTGATGATTTTTACAAAAGATACCCTCCTTTATTTTAAAAGTAGAAAGCGTAGAATATGCCGAAGGCTTGAGAATTCTTCACTTTTGTACCTCTCTTAATCTCTCTTTCTTCAGTGCCACGTAGAGTTTACGGATCCAAATTTTATCAGATAAGAAGAGTAAATAAACCCCCCAGTTTAAAACATTTATGAAAACGGAAAAAATAGTAAGCTTCCTTACCGAAGATATTGTTGAAACTTAATCCGATTTCTTTTCCTAGGCTATTTGTACAATGAAAATTCTATTTCACATTTAATGTTGTATAGTAAAATGATTTAACTTTTAAACATTTTTTAAATATTTATAATATGGAACAGTACTGGACTGCATAACATCTAAGATTTAAGCTTTGAGCTTCAGAATTACCATACATCAGAAAAAAGCACCTAAGCAATATTTAACATTGTTAATTTTAAGCTTCATGTAATAAATCTACGGTATCAACTAAAACCTCGTACTAGATGGCAATGCAAATATTAAAGGAATGATATTGACATGTCCCATAGCGAAATTCACAGAAACCGAATTCTTTCATTTATGTGTCTCAAATTATTAGTCAGCCGTAATTGTTAGGAATTTCATTTGAAACTATTTTTCATTTGGAACTATAAGACTACTTTGCTATTTGGAACTACACTCATGTCCATAAATTAAGGATAATGCAAAATCAGGCAAAGGAAGAGTTAGAAGCAAAACAAATTTGACTTATTTGTAAAGCTTACTTATTAAACAAAAGGTAAAGAGCAAAAAAGATGCTATATGTTTGATATTATTAAAAAAAATTAGCGATTTTTTCTCCCTGGAGCAAATTACAAAAAAAAAAAAAAAAAACCTATTTACAAAAAACCAATATTACATGGTTGGTATGATTATAAATACATTGTATGTCTCGCAGACGATGCAGTACAGTCCGTACAACGCCTAGGCATGTTGAGTATCAAATTATCGATCTGATCTTGGGGGATATTACACCACTCAAAAAGCAATGCTCTCCGAAGTTCCGGTAGACATGTAGGAGGAGGTTGACGGGCTGCAACTCGTCGGCCAAGCATGTCCCCACACGTACTCTACTGGATTCAAGTCTGGTGAGAATGCTGGCCAGTCCATACGGGTGATATCCTCCGATTGAAGGCATTCGCTTACGATGTTTGCACGGTGAGGATGGGCGTTGTCATCCATAAAACAAATTGTGTGCCCATGGCACCCCGAAACAAACGTACATGTTTTTTCCAGAATGACGTCCCGATAGATTTGGCTTGTCATGATTCCAATTTGAACATGCAGGTCATCAGTTCTGGAACCCAGAATAATTCCACCCCAAACGAGCACTCCTGCACCACCGTAACGGTGTCGTTCAATGATGCTTTCTTGGTGGTAACGGGTACCTGGAGCTCTCCATATGAAAGTCCGGCGAGAATCAGACTGCAAGCTAAACCTGGACTCGTCGGAAAACATCACACAAGCCCACTGTTGCGGTGTCCACAATGCATGCTCTCTACTCCAGGCTAACCGCAGGCGACAGTGAGTTGCAGTAAGTGAAACGCATCTGACAGGTCTACGAGCATATAGACCAATCTGCCCTAAGCGTCTGTACACGGTCTGCCTTGAAATTGTCGTACCAGTGGCTGAAGAGAGCTGACGAGACAGGTCTGAGGCTGTGCTCCGCCTGTTTCTTTTGGCAGTAACTGCCAAATACCGGTCCTCATTCGGCGTTGTAACTCTGGGGCGACCTGTGCTGTAACGTCTACTCACATTACCATCATCTGGGAATCGTTGCCAAAGCCTGGAGATGACACTCTGGGCAATTCCAAGTTTGTCTGATACTTCCAGTTGGGTACGCCCACATTCCAGACGGCCGATAATTCTACCACGTAAAAAAAATCATCCAAATGCGTCCTTTGTGTCATAACTATTCGGTTATTGCACTGAAATGCTTATAAAGCGCCTGCGAACAATTTTACTTCTTTGCCTGTATTCCTTATATATCACTCTCTTACACTCTCGTCATTGTGACGTACCATCGGTGTCATCTGGTTACTTCCTGAAATTTGCATATGATTCTTGAAGATGTGTGTAGTGATTTTACAGGTAATATATTTATTTTAGAGTTCGATTTCCGCGTGACTCCGAATTATCCTTAATTTATGGACATGAGTGTATAAGACAAACCAAATAATTCTGTATGAGATACGAAATGTATCGTGTTAGAAACATTAAAATTAGCAGCAAATAGCCATAAGCATCATCATTTGGATATATTATTTATTAAATATAATTTAAATTACAGCATTTGGGTAAATTACTAAAATTAAATTAAACCGATGATCACCGTTAACGACGCTGCTCTTCGGAAATTACGAATTAATGGTCACTAGAATTTATACAAATCATTCAAATAAAATTAAATCGAATGGAAACGGTTAAATTCAAGGTTGCTGGTCACTAGTAACCTGCAGATTGAAGGTTACTAGATTTGTAACTGAGCATATTAATACTTAACTTGTCATTGAGATGGAATCTATATATCTAAAGAAGAATGTCTGTGTGTTTGTTCGCGATTAACTCAATCGCTACTATAACTATCGTCACCAAACTTTCTACCATTCTTTTCTGGTCCTGAAAAAAGTCAACGTTTAGCTATTCCAAAAATAAAAATAGCTAAAATCAGAGATATTAATTAAAAACTCTGAAAACGCTAATTTTCACCTTCATTTTTCCGAGTGGCAACAGTCTCGCGCGCTGGAGATAAAAGTCTGCTTTATTTTGAGAAGTGTTGCCATAAGTTTTAGAATTTGTTAATAAAAAATTTCGAAGTTTAACAATCAAATAAACATACCATTGCCAAATATTGAATATGTTATTCCCGATTCCAAAAATTCGTGGGAAGCCATTTCGACTTTTTCCATCTTTGTACGACTTTAATCAGCCGAGATATTAATTAAAAACTTCGAAAACACTAATTTTTGCCATAATTTTTCCGGAGGCAACAGTCTCGCACGTTGGAGATAAAAATGCTTTATTCGGAAAAGTGTTTTACTGCTCGCTTTCAAATCGTAGAGTTTGTTAATCAAAAATTTGTAAGTTTTAAAACCTATATAAAAGAAAATGTCTGTTTGTGCGTTTCTTTTTTTGTTCTGGTTATTGATTTCTGATCAACTATGATCAATTTTTTTGCCACATTTAATTGACTAAAATTGAATATAGGTAAAATATTGGATGGAATAGCTTTTACGACCATTTGATTAGAAAGACGAAAATTATTAAAAACTGCTTACTATTTTTGCTGATATAATGAAAGATAATTAGTTTATTTGTCTATCGAAATTTTTTATGTGGGTTCCATATCGCATCAGACAGAAAAATGTATGAATATGAATGGTATTTTTTGCATCGTTATTAGAAAAAGATTACAGCTGTATCGTTCTCTCTGTTGTTAGATACATTACTCTGAATCTAACTTAACTGGTATCAGGTACTTCCGCTAGTATAGTATATTGAGATAGAAGTTAATTTTTAAATTAAACCGAAGAACACCGATGTCCGTCAAGGTAGTTGGTTACCAGTGACCTACCAGTGTCTACATTAAACTGTGGTGGCCAAGTGACCAAAGACCTACACCTCTCCGCACACTAATAATCAACTCACCGGTGTGAAGTGGTACTGTAAAGTAAGACAGATTTTAATAAAATTTGGTCATCAGTAACCTATGAGTTTATGTTCAATGGCAATCAACCTATACATTACCGGTATGAGGTGTTACAATAAATTTAGACAGATTTTTAAATTAAAATCCAGCGGAAGTACGCCAGTGCTTGTCAAATCTGTTGGTTGCCGATGAGCTGCAGGCAAATGGCAAAGGTGATCAACTTATAAGTCATGATATGCTGTGGTACAGTAAATTTAGAAACAGGTTTTTAACGTGCAGTGAATTTAAATAAATTTTCAAATTCAAATTAAACCAAACATCTTCTACAGCTTGCAGGTTGACATTTATTGGCAATTAGCATATTGGTTACAGTTTGATGGACTGCAATAAATTTAGATAGATTTTTAAAACAAACTTGCCCTATGGTATTCGTCGTCAATCCACACGTCACCGATGTGGATCAGTACGATAAATCCAGATAAATTGTTAAAATTCAATTAAGGGACACTAATGATCGTCAAACCTATAGTCACCAGTGATCGACAAGACCATTCAGCGCCAGTTCAGTGGTCACAGCTGGCTTATGGGTTGACAGCCATCAATGTGGGGTAACGCTTTAGCAACATTTGCCAAAGGAAGTGAAATCATGCAGCATAGCATAATGTTAGCCAAATACGAAGCTTGAAAAATTGATTCCGTTAAAGATTCATTACTCCTAAAACCTAAACTGAAAATAAATTTCTGAGAAGTATCTTTTGTCCTAAAAGTTTGGCATAAACATGTCGCCTAGATTTAGACAGATGCTTCACAGAGGTTTGAAAACTCTACCTTCGTTAGATGTACTACATATAATCAAGTAGAATGCATTATACACTTTCCTCACAGTATTACCGAAGCTTCGAAGTACACTTCATGCAAACCCAACTTTTCTTAAAAAATCTCCATATTTATTTGAGTCATTTTAAAAAACCTCCATCCACTGCGCATCTGATGAAATGATAAGGTATTATTTTTTCTAAATCAAACATAACTTCTTTTCTTATAAAAGCACTTCCAGCGAAAATGAGGAAAGCTCATATTTAGTCCAACATGGAAATTCCTACCAGAGGCAGAGCAGTAAAGTTACTGAAAGCTAATAGTTTGATCTGCGTTCGATATCAGGCGAACGGACTGACTGCATGACTGCATGGAAGTTTAGTACGATCCAGTTTTCCTTAGAAACTCCTCTACGAAAGCATCTCTCCCCTTAGGCAGATGCTCCTCGCGAGCTTTTCTATAATTAAATAAACCTAAATATACTATATTAAGATTGTAACTAACTTCACCTAACCATAAGCTCTCATACCTCCAAAGTTTTCTGTAGTATCTGCATTCTTAAGCAAAATAAATGTCGATGTTTATTTTGTAACTTGTCTAAATTTCAACAACAAACTTCTCTATATCATTAATTTTCTGTAGTAACTGTAGCAAAGAAAGAAAATGACTGCATTTAAGCATCGAATTTATCTCAAAGAAATAATAATATTTTATTTTACTTCACAGCGAGGATTTTTAAGTACAGCGAATCAATCTGATAAATCATTATGTGACTCTAATGTTATTTAAGTTCCCTTTCAATTCAATCTTTAGCCATAACAAAAGTGACAGAAATTTTGCATTTTTTTTCATTTGCATGCTTCTAAAAGTGAAATAAATTACCAAATAATTTTCAAGAATATTACTGGAATAAGAAGTAATAGTTTCTAGTATTATGAAAAGTTTTCAATTCATCATTAATTGAACTCGTTAAAAGTCGTTTAGACACATGTTGGCAAATGTCCTGAAAGGTATTGCTTTAATATGAGAGATATTCTTCCAAAAACCTTTGATCGCTCTTACTCTAGCTGTTGGATCCCCAAGACATCTCATAATCACGACACTTATTTCACATATCATAATTTTTCTTCTATTTCAAATTTTTAGACTGCATTTTTATTTGAGACTGTTTCTATTATTCCGTGTATTTTAAAATCTTGGTGAAGTGTCTGTGCTTTTATACCTAATTATTACTTTTGAACCAAAAAAAAGAAGGATACTTTTAATTAAACACTAGTTAACAATTATCGATTGTTTAAGAGGACTCATACACCTTAAAACCCATAAGATCTTCGAATGTGTGACTGTTGCAAGAATTGGGATAACTTATTTATTTTAAAAGAAATTACTTCCAACCTTTTATAGATGACAGCATAATATAGCTACTTTCTGAAATAGCAATCAAAACGTTTGTGTTGCCACAAATATTTTTATAATTTAATCCGCTTTATGACAAAATATTTCGTCAAGTTTCCACCTTGCACGCACAGTTTAAAACATTCTGTTGCATAATTTAATTCCATATTTAATATATAGCTTTTAAAACATTTGGAAACTAATGTGAACCTAAAATTTTAAGAATTTCATGTTACATTTTTATTTTATTTGGAGTTGAGTTTATAAAATGTATTTTATTAAAAAAATCTGTAATGTTTTCGCGCATAAATTTTTTTAATACTAAAATATTCATCAAATTTTTGGTTCAGTTAGAAAATAGTGTCCATATAAAGAATTCCATCAAGTTTCAAGTATGTACTATTAGCCATTTTTAATATATCATGCGCGCAAGGTAGAAACATGACGAAAACTTTTGTCACAAAGCGGATTAAATTACAAAAATATTTGTGGCAACACACATTTTCTGGTTACTAGTTTCTACAGCAGCCATATTATGTAGTCAGCTGTAAAAAGTTGGAAGTAATTGCTTTTAAAATAAATAAAATATCCCAATTCTTGTAACAGTCACATATTCGAAGATCATAAGGGGTTTAAGGTGAATGAGCCCCCTTGAAAAGAAATTCTAAAGCAGGAACCTTTTTCTGTGTGTGTGTGTGTGTGATTATGGCAAGGCCTCGAGGGCTATCTGCCTAAGGGGAGGAATGCCTTCGCGGAGGACTTTCTAAGGGGAACTGGCTCGTATGCACGTTACACATGGGAAAAACCACTTCTAAAGCAGGAAAGGTGCTAATTGCGCATTTCAAATGTGGGACAACTTTCAATACAGGAAATAAATTTTTCTCCTTAGTTTCTCTGGTTGAAATTCTGGCTAAACTTTCATTGTTTTCCTCATGTATAACCGCCGCCGAGCGGTAAAGTCGCTGAACACTGGTAGTTCGGTCCGAGGCTCAAATCCGGCGAACGGGTTGCGAATGTGTAACGTGTATACGAGCCAATTTTCCTTAGAAAGTCCTCTAGGAAGGCATCCTTCCCTTAGGTAGATAGCCCTCGAGGCTTTGACATAGTCACATAAATTAAAAAAACCTATCCTCATTTAGAATATAAACACGAGGAGCTGGTTTCCTTCAAAAATTCTTCTGCGAAGGCATTCCCTAGGCACATATCGATAGCTTGTCTCGCCATAATCCAGATAATCTAATTCGATCCCCTTAGAAATAATGCAGTTTACTGCAAAAATAAAATACTTGCTACTCGAAAATAAATGTGTATTTAATAAAAATAAATATTGGAATATTCGGGAACAAAGGATTAACTACAAATGACTATGTTTCATTTATTAATAGGTTTATTCTGGTTAATTAAGAAAACCAGAATGATATAAAACGTTAATTAGCTTCAAGAAATTATTCGGTCGGTGAAGCGTGAAATAAAATATTATTTTCGTGGAAGAAATGCTAGGAAAAATATCTAGCAATAAAGGTTTCATATCACAAGTCTTGCGAAATTCGTCAAATCATGTTACGTCAGGGAACTAATATTGTCTTATTTTTGTAAATGCTGCGAAATAACAGAGCGATCAGAAATTTCTTAGCCTCAGATTAATGAATGATAGCTAGCAAATGGAAGTTACTAAAAGGTAGGTGCTGCCATCTATCTACAAAACATGAAGTGCTGTAGATAAATGTGAAATTGGTTTGAAACATATTTCATCTTCAAGAAAAGCAGTTGAGTGTAAGATAAATATTAAATAAATGTAAATAAAATTTTGCTTTTGAATTTAAAGCGATATATCATTCCTCATACAATTTTCAGCACTTAATTCTTGAATAAACTATGTTTTTTATAATTATGAAGCACTTCTTAGAAAGGTAATTCAAACTTACGCAGTAAATCCTTCTTTTAATTTCTCTCTGCAGAGCTGCAAGGAAAGGCCTTAATTAGAAATTATTTATTACTAATAAAACATATCCACATAGTTAAGACATATGATAAGCAAAATTTTGATTAAATGGATATCTCTCGGTAGTTTAGTTTTAACAAGTGTTTCGTAGTCTACTCTACTCGGAAGTAATTAATAAAAACATAAGTATGCCTTATAGAAGGTTCCTTTCGGTTGTAAGAAGTAAATTTTCAAACTGTTAAGTGTCGTAAATAAATTACGCAAAGAAAACGTATAAGATTTGTAATTTCATATTTAAGCAACAATTTTTTTGTTATAATACTTATTAATTTATTTCACTAATGAGTAACTTTTGCTATTTCAATGAGTTTGAAATACGTTTTGATTTACATTGCTATTTTTTAATTAATTTATTTATTTAACTTATTACTTAATTTTTTCGCTTATTAAAATATTTTATAATAGCAGAATTGCATGTCACAGAAATTAAATCCCGTCCAATTCAAATACATACTACATTTACTACACTAATGTCCATAAATTAAGGATAATTCGGAGTCACGCGGAAACGAACTCTAAAATAAATATATCACCTGTAAAATCACTACACACATCTTCAAGAATCATATGCAAATTTCAGGAAGTAACAAGATGACACCGATGGTACGTCACAATGACGAGAGTGTATGACGAGAGTATATAAGGAATACAGGCAAAGAAGTAAAATTGTTCGCAGGCGCTTTATAAGCATTTCAGTGCAATAACCGAATAGTTATGACACAAAGGACGCATTTGCATGATTTTTTACGTAGTAGAATTATCGGCCGTCTGGAATGTGGGCGTACCCAACTGGAAGTATCAGATGAACTTGGAATTGCCCAGAGCGTCATCTCCAGGCTTTGGCAACGATTCCAAGATGATGGTAATGTGAGTAGACGTTAAAGCACAGGTCGCCCCAGAGTTACAACGCCGAATGAGGACCGGTATTTGGCAGTTACTGCCAAAAGAAACAGGCGGAGTACAGCCTCAGACCCGTCTCGTCAGATCTCTTCAGCCACTGGTACGACAATTTCGAGGCAGACCGTGTACAGACGCTTAGGGCAGATTGGTCTATATGCTTGTAGACCTGTCAGATGCGTTTCCACTTACTGCAACTCACTGTCGCCTGCGGTTAGCCTGAAGTAGAGAGCATGCATTGTGGACACCGCAACAGTGGGCTTGTGTGATGTTTTCCGACGAGTCCAGGTTTAACTTGCATCTGATTCTCGTCGGACTTTCATATGGAGAGCTCCAGGTACCCATTACCACCGAGAAAACATCATTGAACGACACCGTTACGGTGGTGCAGGAGTGCTCGTTTGGGATGGAATTATTCTGGGTTCTAGAACTGACCTGCATGTTCAAATTGGAACTATGACAAGCCAAATCTATCGGGACGTCATTCTGGAACAGCATGTACGTTTGTTTCGGGGCGCCCTGGGCGCACAATTTGTGTTTATGGATGACAACGCCCGTCCTCACCGTGCAAACATCGTAAGCGAATGCCTTCAATCGGAGGATATCACCCGTATGGACTGGCCAGCATTCTCACCGGACTTGAATCCAGGAGAGCACGTGTGGAACATGCTTGGCCGACGAGTTGCAGCCCGTCAACCTCCTCCTACATGTCTACCGGAACTTCGGAGAGCATTGCTTTTTGAGTGGTGTAATATCCCCCAAGACCAGATCGATAATTTGTACTCAGCATGCCTAGGCATTGTACGGACTGTATTGCATCGTCTAGGAGACATACAATGTATTAACAATCATACAAACAACGTAATTTTTTTTTTTTTTTTTTTTTTTTTTTTTTTTTTTGTAAATAGGGTTTTTGTTTTTTGTAATTTGCTCCAGGGAGAAAAAATCGCTAATTTTTTTAATAATATCAAACATATAGAATCTTTTTTTGCTCTTTACCTTTTGTTTAATAAATAAGCTTTACAAATAAGTCAAATTTATTTTGCTTCTAACTCTTCCTTTGCCTGATTTTGCATTATCCTTAATTTATGGACATGAGTGTATTTTACACATCTCCAGGCTTTGCTATGTAATCAATGGATCGACGACTCATGAAAACGGAGATTCTAAATGCTGTAAATGGTAATTTGCACTTGACTAATGTATGAGAATTTAATTAGAACGCGTAGTCGCTATAATCTACTTCCTTAGCAACACGAAATTAAAGGTGTGTAGCACCAGCACTTAACTAGAATCTTGCAAATGATTATGCACCTAAGCATTCACATCGATATTTTAATCGTCATCGAAGTCGTTCAGCGAGTTAAAATCGCTTGGACTCGAACCTGGGCCTCACGAATACATGTCTTCGTTATGTAGTGGTAGCACACTCGGCGCGTATTCGACAGGGCCAGATTCGAGGCAAAATCCGTTTCGAGACTAATAACCCTAATGGACTAACCCCCCTTTGGGCTAAAAAGTAATAGCACAGTAATATATAAAATAAATATATAAAATACTGCACTACTTCTAATAATGTATGTAATTTTAAGCTATAAATTATAAAGTATTTATTTTATTTAAAATTCATTATCAACGAAAGTCCTACTGAAAACGTACATGAACCAGAAGATTTCTTATCCATATCTAGCACTAATTCTACTACACTACATTTTGTTCTCCTACATGATTAATATAGCGAGGCTTTATATTGTCGTTCTTTCAATCTTTTGGCACACACCTTTTTAATTTATGATTTATTTTTATTTCCTCCTTTTGCTCTTTCTTGCAGTTTAAAGACAGCCTTCTTACATTAATATTTAAATAACGTAACTGCATATAATTAGTTTTCGTATATAAAGTCCTTGCCTTCTTGTAATCACTAATTTAACAACTCGTGCCTTATAATGTCGCATAACATTCTTGACATCAACGAAACGTATTTTCGCAATTTCCTAATACATGAGCTTTTTGCTATAATTATGCATATTTACCAGACAGTTTATAAGATTATAATTGCATTTTATGACATATTCACGCAAAAGCAAGTTATTACGAACTCAAATGCCAATATTCCTATTTGTTAATAAATGGGATTACTCATATCGTAACTCCTTGTTTTGAACATGTCTTTTGGTTTCCCCATTCCTCAAGCAAATTATCTTAATCTCATTTAAGATGGTTGTTTCCGTTCAGGGCACTCCAGGAGTCGTAAGGCACTTTGACGAACTAGATTAAAGTTGCAATTACCGTAGAAGTCTGCTAGCTTTTGGAGGAAAGCGATCGATATAATCTTCATCGGTTGACAACAATCACGTTTTGTAGAGACATTTTCAGAAAACTGAAGATTTAAAAAAAAAAAATCTGATGTGTACACCACATGACTTCCTTGTATTGGAATATTAAATTATACGCATTTTTTTCTTGCATTTCATTTAAACTTATTTGGATTGAATTAAATCTACTTCGCCGACAGCGCATAAACCACAATAGAATAAATGCATTCTAAAATTCACTCTAGTATTTGTTTACCATAGCGACACTCTGGCGCTAGATTCACTTAACAGTATTAATGATAATATAACAGTTAACTTATATAATAATTATATAACGGAAACTAAGTTAAACGTTATATAATCCAATAATTATATAACAGTTAACGTATATATTTCGTTCATATTATAACTCATAATGCACAAAATTTATATCATTTAAAGAATAGAATTATCTAATCGTTGCCACATGTTCTATTCAAATACTATAATAAAGCTAGAATAATGTATAAAAGAAATTAAGCAAACAAAACAAAAAAGAAACAGTTTTTCACAGACGATTGAGTATTTCTCATTCAATTAATTCAGTTCTCACTTCGCGAGAAGGCAAAAATACATAAAAACTCAAAATATCTCTATTAAAAATTACGAAGTAAATCTCAAACACTTATTTCCACGAAAAAATTCCAGAAAGAATTAAGCATGATTTAATTGGCAATAATAAATTGTAGGGTTTATATTTATTTTAACTAACATTTATTTTAAGTTTAAACTATCTTTCCTGTCAAGCCTTACTTTCCCCTGGAACTGCCAATGCCAGAATATGTAAATTTTAGTAGAACGCGCAAGGATTCAAATTATCAGCGGAAGTATTCTGATTTAAATAGAAGGAAACGAGTTCGGTGTGATATTCTTACTTAGCGAGCGCGGAGGTAACGAGAATTGAAGAACCCCGCGTTTCGGCCTATGTGCTTGGCGGGAAGTAGTGGTAATTGTTCCAGTGAGCTTCAAGTCTGCTGAATTAGCAGCGGTATTGTAAAACGCGGTGAGTTAGTTATTTTAGAGAGCCTCGTAGTTAGAATCTTGTCTTTACTTTCTTTTCAGGTTATTATTTTTATTTGACTGCCAAGTTGGCACAGTCTGTAAGCGTCAAGAGGACGCAATTGTAATTTATTACGTTGAATAAAAAGGGACTTAAACCCTTCACAAGGCTCTATCTTTTATACAAGTTTTCACAGTCACCTCTTGGTTGCGTGCAAGTTGGAGGCGCGCAACGTTATAAAATGAATGCGTTATCTTTGTTGTTGCGAAGCTAAGTTTCTCTAGATTGGCAACAAATCCACTAGTCTCCTGTTTCAAATGTAAACATCAATGTCCGTCATTAAAAACAGGCTTAGCGGCAATTAAACAACTTTAAAATTGCTGATAATTCTAAAAATATTGCACACATATTTACTAAAGGCATAAAAACCTTATATATAAATATTATACCTATATATAAATATATTTATATACGTTTGGTGCCGCCGATTGCAACCAAAATACGAGGTGCACATCTACATGTTATAGTAGTCCTATATACAAAATTTCAACGTTCTGAGGCTTCTCGTTTTTGTGTTATGCGAGATACGTACGTATGCACGCACGCACGTACGTACATACGTTCGTACAGACGCCACGAAAAATTCTCTTCAGAATTAATTTTAAAGCAGTTTTATAATTTTTTTTGAAGGAAAAGAGTATTTTATTCTGTCCTTACGTACAGATATCACGCAAGAACATCGTTGTCACGCAAAAACATCGTTAAATTGCATTCCGGTCAAAGTGGATATTTTCGTTAAAATATGCTGCCTGAAACTTTTCGCGATTACAATTGCTTTTTATTTTGTACAAGGAAGTAAAAAAAAGAAAGAAAGAAAAAATTAAAATCTGAAAGCTTTCAGATTTTGTTAACTCAAAGAGGCCTTTTTTTAACGTTTCGTGTTTTATCTTTATTTATTAAATATCCTGTTCTTCGCACTTAAACCATAAAACTCAATTCAACAGCAATATCACAAAATATTTAAAAAGAGTATATCTTTAGAATTTCCGACACACAGTCACGCGCTTTGGAGACTTTTTTTTTTTTTTTTTTTTTTTTTTTTTTTTTTTTTTTTTTTTTTTTTTTTCGTACAGTGTTGCCATTGCTCGCTTTGAAATGCTTGAGTTTGTTAATCAAAAATTCACTAAAGTTTTACAAAATGTAAAGTAGATAACAAAGCAAATTCCAGATTCCTAATCCGGGCTTGCAGATGGCTATATTCGAGTGGAGGACTACGTTATTCAAAATTTGATGTTCTCAAGTACCGTTATTTTTTCCCAGTGCGAGAAACATGCACACATTCATGCAGATTCTTCATTATTTAATTTCTTTAAGTATAATGCAGTACTCTAATATTTGGTGGCAATAATTTGTCAGACTTCGCAAAATGCCAAAATGAAATAAGTAGTTCTTCTGGACAAATTGTCCCTTTCGGCTTAAAAAAAAACCCTCACAGTTAAATGTCTCGGGTACAGGGATCTTGTGTCGCCAGGGTTTCCCATTTAAGAGTTTATAATTTTTGCTTCACAGCCAGTCAAGATGAAAGTAAGCAATGCTGTTCAGTAGCCTGATCCCCTTTACAAAGATTATTTAGATATTTCGAATTAATTTCATATCGAAACTGGAAGACTAAACCAAATAACAACTACTGGCTTAATGTTCCTCCATAACCATAAAATTATTTTTGTTATAATGCGTTTGGACGCATTTAGTAGCAGCAATGCCACTAATATGGGTGCTTGTTTTGTACACAGTTCTGGATGTAACGAATAGGCTAATAGTGTTGATACATTGGCCAAATTCATGGTTCCAGCATAAGTTGGACTCTCACAAAATCTTCCAGAGACAGCCTTGTTCAGTTCATGTTAGATTGTGCTATGAATGATTGATTTCCTTCATTGGAAAATCAGCAAATTTTCCAATTGCACGGTTTAGCAATCTCTGCAGAACTTCAACCGGACTTCTGTTACACCATACACGATATTGCAATTCTGTCGAATTGAAACTTAAGATCAAGAAACATGTTTCATTCTTTTGCATAACAGGCATTGTTTGTAAACAATTCTTTGTTTACTGATTTTTTTTAAATAACTCTGAAATATTGTTGATTTTATAACTCATACTTAATTTTTATATACCACTGAAATTTAATTTAATTTAAATAAATTGTTATTTCTCACTCTAAAAAGTCACAAGATTTTAATTTAATAAATGAAAAGTGTAACAGTGGGTAGTGAAAATTTGATTCTGTTTTATGCCGTACCAAATGCAGTTTTATACCATACCTTTTTTATTTTATCATCACTATATCCAAGCCAGCCAACACTAGTGCAGTAAGCAGGATATCCTTCAGATAATAACAAGGCCTCTGCAAATTTTAAGCATAAATTGAATTACATAAATATAAAAATTGTCCTTATTCTTAATAAGATGCTTATTATTTTCGAAAATATTGTATGACTCAAACGCAGCAAAATACTTTCTGCTTTAACCGTAAAAGTATTTAATTTTTTTTTAATTGGTAACCATCAAGAATCAGCGATATCTACACCTGTATTCGAACTCGATATCTCCCGTTTACTAGACGAACGTGCTCTCAGTTACACCATAAAAAGGAGAAAAATGTTTTGCATCTACTTTTAAAGGACTTGTGAGGAGGAGAGATCTAGCCTCCCTATCCAAGTGGTAAAGAGTTATATCCACATTTTTGTTTTTGTTTTTTGTGATTACGAGTAAACCTGGAGGGCTATCTGCGTAAGTGGGGGGATACCTTCGTGGACGACTTTCTAAGGGAAGCTGCCCATGCAGCCAGCCTGTTCGCGGAATCTGAACCCCAGACCGAACTACCAGTGTTCAGCGACTTTACCGCTCGAGTGCTACTTATAGAACAATTAGGTATTTTTCGAAGAATGAAGAATCAGCAATATCCTCACCGCGGTTCCATTTCCGATCTTTCCACTGTCAGAGGAGGTCCTTACAATTACACCACGACGGCTCGCATTGAGGAAGGATGAAATTTCGTACATAGTATCGCTTATTAAATCACTACTTACTCGAATTTACATATAAGAAAATAAAAACGGAATTAATTCTAAATTATTTTTTGCAATAAAAATTTTGAGCCTAGCAGCACATTAGAAATATGATACTTTCATAAAAATGGGTAGATTATTGATATGTTTTCTTAAGGAAATGTAATTGCATTATGTTTTTTATTATGGTATTAACATATAACACACTGCTCGACATTGAAAATGCAACACCAAGAAGGATTGGTCAGAAAGTGATGAATTTTGGAAAAAAGACAGAGACATCAAGCAGCAATAGGTGATCTTTATTTCAAAATGATTTAGTCAGAATACAGAGCGAGAACGGCGTCGCCTCAGTAGGATGTAGGACCACCGCGGACAGCGATGCACGAAGAAACACGTCTAGGCGTACAGTCAATAAGAGTACGGATGGTATTCTCTCTACTCCCTTTCAACCATTTGCCACAGTTCGTCTTCTGAATGAGGCAGAGTCTGCAAACGGCGTCCAATCACATTCCACACATGTTCGATTGGTGACAGATCACGAGAGTACAGTGTCCAGGGAAGCATCTGTATACCTTGCAGAGCATGTTTGCAGATGCGAGCACTGTGCGGTCGGGTGTTATCCTGCTGAAAAATTGTATTAGGCAGCCCCTGAACGTAGGAGATTGCCACCGGCGGCAGTATATTATCCAAGTATCATTGGGCCGTCATAGTGCTCTGAATACGAACTAGAGCTGACCTGGAATCGTAGGGAATAGCTCCCCAACCATTGTGCCACATAGTCGCGTGGTGGGAAGTTCCACAGTTACCGCGGATTAGATCTGTCTCCACGTCGACTGTCACTGGATAAACAGAAGCGTGACTCATCTGAGAACACGACGTTTCGCCATTCTGTCATCCACATCGCTCCAGTCCGGCACCATTCTAAACGTTGGCGTCTATGCTGTGGGGTCAATGGCAGTCTTCTTAATGGACGCCGTGACTGCAGACCACGTTCAACCAATCGGCGGGAAATGGTTCTCGTCGACACGGGAACATCCAGGGTATCTTGCACATGCTGCAGAATTGCGGTACAAGTGACTTGCGGGACCGCCACAGCTTGTCGGCGGATGCGTCGATCCACGCGTGCTGATGTTCCTCTGGCTGCGCCTGCCCCCCTCCTTCTTCCCACATTTCCTTGTTCCAACCATGTTTGTCATAGCCGATGCACCGTGTCGCATCCATGTGGGTATCAGCTGCGATTTGACGTAAGAACCAACCCGCCCTTTTCAGTCCTATCACCATACCCCTCGTAAAATCGTCTATCTGCTGTAAGTGCCTTCGTTGACGGCGGCCTGGCATTCTCTCCTATTACATGTATCCTCCGGGACAAAAACCAACTTTCTTCGATAATTCGTCTGGCAGAAATAACGACACGAATATTTCCCATTCTGCACGTTCCTTCCCTTATATCTTACTTCATGTGCGTCGGAGAGCTGCGCCTTTCACATCATTCGCAAAACTCCGTGATGGGCATCTACTCTAAAATTTGTATAAATTTCTGACCACTCCTTCTTGGTGTTGCATTTTCAATGTCGAGCAGTGTATATACATAAAGAAAAACAAATTAAGGGATTTCACAATTTATTTTAAAATAACTTAAAAAAATAACATCCTGCCTAGCGCTACTAAGATTAAAAATTTAATTTAATAGATAATATATAAATTAAAAATTATCTTCAAGGAAATGTAAACTATAATGTAGATTGTAAATGTCTACCATCGCGGAAACCGAAAAGTGTAATTTCCATTAATTAAACTGGAATTGCTAATCAAAATGCTAAATTAATAGAAAGTAAACTTAAACGATTAAAACAAGTGAATCATTGTTGATTTCACAGAAATCTTTGAATCCACAGAAAATTTTTGGTTCAAGAGGAATTGAAGCCCCTCTATACAATCACCAACAATTCATGAGGATCACGTTTCGTCTTTTCACATTTCTGAACAAAATCCTTATTCCAATTTTAATTTTTCTAATCTACTTAATAAAACTTGAATTTAAATCTTAAATTTCAGAAATGTAAGTTTAAGTATTGTTCTGTATGAACACTATCTTTTTTTTCATTTATTTTTTAATTAATTGTAATTAATTATCTACCAGCGCGCTAGGGAATTTTTCACATTTCTGAAATTTAAGATTTAAATTCATATTTTATAAAATTTATTAGAAAAATTTAAATTGGAATACGGATTTTGCTCAGAAATGGAAAAAGACGAAACGTGATCCTCATTAATTGTTGGTGATTGTATTGAGAGATTCCATTTCCCATTGGAAAGTCGGGATCTTTCTACGGAATCAACAATGATTCTCTTGTTTCAATTGTTTAAATTTACTTTATATTAATTTAGCATTCTAATTACCAATTCCAACTTAATTAATAACAAACTCCAATTTTTGATTTTCACAATAGTACAAATTTACTATCTAAATTACACTTAGATAACACATTTCCTAGGAAATAGTTTTTCCTTTATATATACTCTATTAAATTATATATATTTAATAGAGAGTTTAATATACATATTTGTTACTTCATTGAAAATTTTCCTGCAAAATAATTACTTTGTCTCTAAAAATGTTTATAAATACGTGTTAACAAATTATATATTAATCGCAACAACTATATTCATTATGAATCAGGGGAAACTAATTAAACTGAAATTAATTAGTTATTTGTAATTTTCGTAAATTTTACAAAATTGGCGTTAACTTTACGCATTAGCGAATTTTCACATAAGTACACTTTTTTTCGAATTCTCTCCACTTCTCCAAATTACTTTATTTTCCTGACCCTAGGTGGAAGCACTGACTCGGTGTACCGTAGAGAATAATTTATTACGCGATAGCTAATCTCTAATTATGTATAAAAACATTTAACAATCACTAATAAGGAAAAATTTGGCTCTACTCTTATATGCGCCCTAAGATTACCAAATGTGGCGATAAGTGTTCTGCGCTGATTTTTATCGCGATTCCGTGCTGTGGGATAGTTTGTTGGACGATGCTGTTTGTATGGCAACCCTTTTCACGTTGAAACTTAGAGAAGTGGCAAGATTTCAGTCGCGTATTTTAGATTGTGTGGAAAGTAAATTTAGTATTAAAAGGTACGATGTTGGAGTTGTTAACGAGTCTTTTGTTTATTTATGAGGATCGAAGTGTATTTTTGGAATTTCTGTGTGACTTTTAAAACGGAGTCCGAAATGCGGAACTGCTATGAGAACTCGGACGAAGAAGGGCATTTCTGATAGTTCTTCTGTGGATTTGCAGTTAAATGCTTGCTGGTAAAGTATGTGGATGTCAGCGGAGTTTAAGATTTGGCTTGTGGTTTTCGTGTAGTAAGTTAACTTTGGAGGAAGTTTTTATTGTTATTTTCAAAATTTTGGTCACAGAAAGACATGTGATATAGCAAAATCGTGGCACTTTTGTTAACGGACGTTGTGTGACTGGCGAAATTTTATTCACGTATGTATTATGGTAAGTGCATTTATTTTATTGTTTTTATTTTGTAGAATGTTATGTTCATTGTTTTTTACTATGAATTTCTGTTGTTATTTGAATTGTTTGTAATTTATTTTAGTTTATTTTGTTGATTTGTGCGCATTGCCTAGATTGTGCAATTCGTAGATGTTTTTTAAAGTTTAAACAGAATGCTGTGTACATGGTATTCTTTGAAATTTATTGTTACTATGTTAATTTATTAAAGCGACGTGTGCGTATTTACGTAAGATTCTTTCGCTGCTTAGATTGTGCAATCCGTAGGTTTTTTTTTTTTTTTTTTTTTTTTTGATTGTGCAATTCGTAGATTTTTCTTGTCAAATATTTTTGGTTAAAAACTTTACGTTTTTGCTATCTAAATGTTTTGTTTTTGTTTCGGATTTTTAGCTTAAATTGTGTGTTTAAAACGTGGTTTTTCCATGAGCGAAAACCGTGTTTTTGGAGACATTTTAGGCTTAAAGTTCGAAATGTAGACAAAAAATTTAGATAGTAATATGGCACCGGCGACCTGAAGGCGCATATAAGAAAGTTTGAAAGCGCATATAGTTAAGAAAGTTTTATTTATTACGTGGGTCAAGAATTCTGCAAATAATACACAAAACATTTTGCATGAAATAAATCGTCTTATTCCTTTTCAAAGCATTCGTCTACAGTATTGATGCAATCTTTAACTGAAAAAAATTTCAAAATCTTTACACTATTCAGAAATTTGTCTAGTAGAAATATAAGCTTCAGGTACTTCTTCTGGGCTGCTAGATCAGTGACCATACCGTTTAGGTTTGAATGTAGAGAAAAGAAACGCATAAATACGTATTAAGTGTAAAGAAATATACTCTAATATTTGTGAAAATTGCAACACTATGAAGAAATTACGCAAATTGAACCAAACTTACAGGAAATGTTAAGTGAGATAAAACACGCAAATGATTAGAATTAAAGATTACACATGCGTGGATTGAGAACCGGCCGCTTGTTCCATATATATAAAGGATTTTAAAGTTGCATTGAAATCTGTTTATTGTCCTCTGCCTGCAGTGAACGTTTAATTAGTGGTCAACAGCGGAGGTTGAGAAACCCAACAACTAACGGAGTTCGAACAAGGACTCATCGTAGGTATGCGAGAGGGTATTGCTTTCTTATCGAGTAATCGCTGCCCGCACGGAGCATATAAAAGCCCTATCATATGTAGCGAGGTGCGCGTCTAGGCAGGACATTTCCGAGAAACGAAATTCTAGTAGAATAAATGCACAACAGAATGAATTCACTTTTTAAAATTCACTATATTAGTTTACCATAGCGACACTCTGGCACTAGGTTCACTTAACAGCGTTACATTTCATTCATTTTATAACTTCAACTTATAAACATATCGCCGGAACTATTACACAAAAGTGTAATTTTGCCAGTCAGAAAGAAACCTAAAAGACTCATGACGATAAGCGTTTTCTGGCATGGTAATCTCTCTAAGAAGAAACAGAGGCAACGAGAACATTTTATTATAACGCAGAATGCGTAAAATTCATATCTTCTGGAGAATTGTCTAATCGTTGCAATAAGTTCTATTCAAATCTCATAATAAATATAAAACGATGCATAAAAGAAATTAAAACAAAAGAAAGAAACAGTTTTTCACAGACAATTCAGTATTTCTCATTCAATTAATTCAGTTCTCACTTCCACGACAAGGCAAAAATACATAAAAACTCAAAATATGTACATTAAAAATTACGAAGTAAATCTTAAACACTTAATTTCTCGAATAAATTCCAGAATGTATTAAGCATGCTTTAATTCTCAATAATAAAAGAAGGCGTTATCTTTGTTGTTGTGAAGCTTAGTTTCTCTAGACTGGCAACAAATCCACTATTTTCTAAGTTTCAAATGTAAAAAAATATGGCCGCTATGGTAAAAATAATTAGGATTAGCCGCACTTAAACAACTTTTAAATTGTTGATAATTCTGCAAATATTGCATGCAGATTTTCTAAAAGCATCCAAACCTTAACCGGAAGATAAAAACAACATAATTCAATCATTTTAAAGCAAAAAATGCAGAATTTACAAAGATATAAGAATAAAGAAACTGAGATCACTCAGCTGAGCAACAGAGTGGATATATATATATATACATATATTTATATACTTTTAGTGCGGCCGATTGCAACCAAAATAGGAGGTGCACATCTACATATTATAGCAGTCCTATATACAAAATTACAATGTTCTGAATCTACTCGTTTTTGAGTTATGCGAGATACATACGGTACGTACGTACGTACGCACAGACACCAAGAAAAATTTTCTTCAGAATTCATTTTAAATCAGTTTTATATTTTTTTCAGGAGAAAAGAGTCCTTTATTCTGTCCTTAGGTTCAGATGTCACGCAAAAACATCGTTAAATTGCATTCGATAGCGGTCAAAATTGATTTTTTTTTTTTTTTTTTTAAATATGATTCCCGAAATTTTTCGCGATTACAATATTTCTTTTTTACTTCGTACAAGGAAGTAAAAATGATAAAATAACAAAATAAACTCCCAGCTTACTCTCTACTTACTCTCAGCTTACTCTTATTATCAGAACTTATAGATGTGTTATCTTACCTCTTTCTTTCTTGCCCTTTTGATTTTTTCTCAACATTTCTGGAAAAAAACAACATTTTTAATAATGATATTTAATATATAATTTCAGAGGGAAAGAGAAAATTAGAAGCATTAATGCATAGCGCAATATAAAAATTACCATCTTCTCCATATCTAGGTTTGCTTTGAAAAGCCGATAAGGTCGTTTAGAATACATCTTATTAGAAAGAAGGTCTGAAGAAAAAGGAACAGCAGATTACAATCAAAATAGCGCGATCCTTTAAACGACAAAGTTTTATGAAGCCACTCGACAAGCAAAGTGTTTATGTAGCGTTAATTACTTTAGTTATAAAATAATCTACTTTGTAATCGTTTAATTATTTTCAAATCATGAAAATTAGCCTTATCATTGCAAAAAAAATAAAAAAGCATATTATTTAAAAGAACAAAATAGCACATGCAAAATGGAAGCAAATCTAAAAGCAACATACAAGTAAAAATTACTTTACATTCGGAAGTTTTGAAATTGAAAATACAATGACAAGTTTCTTTTTTGGCTGCCGAAACTTGTTGCTCACCAGTTGGTTTAGGCTTTTAAGGCAACTACTAAATTTCAACAATGGAAAATTGAATTATATTGATTTAGACAGTATAGACCTAAATAGATTTCATATAAGAACTTTACAATCTGTTTATAGATGATAAGTGTTATGATAGCATCTAGATTGATATTTAAAAAATATGTTTCCATGACAACAAATTTGAAAGACAGCAGATATTCTGTTCTCAGTTAGACCAATTTTGGAGCCGTTACGCTGTCATAGTATTTATCATCCATCTGCTCTGTCAATTCCTACCTATTCATTAAACAGAAAACTTTTAATTAATTATTTTCTAAGTTTCACGAATAACCAGTTTTTATAGCGTTACCATTAGATTACTGTAGCGTTGCTATATGACGTACTTCTTTATCTCTCAAATTATAAACTGTTAACAAACTGAGTAATTTAAAGTCAATAAATTCACTTTTTAGTAATTTAAGAGTACATTTGATTAGTAATTATCAGTACATTTGATTGACATAATTTAAAATGCATTTAATTTATAATGCGTTTAATTCATAAATATCGGCATTAGTAGAATTATCATGATTAATAGAGGTGTTTCTAAAGCCGTATAATTCATACTTCGGTGCGAAATCATTTGTTTTACATTTAAAATTTGTGGCTTGTACTAAGGTTTATTTGGACCGTTATCTTGAAATATTTTTGGTTTAGTCAAATGAAAAGTGATGAACGACACTAAAAATTTTCTCCAGAACGATATAGAGTATCCATCCATTTCCAGAAACAATTTTGGTTACGTTGTAACATCCCGGCTAGAATAGAGCTCTTTGAAAGTTAGAATATTGAAGAACTTTCGAATACTTACTGGGTTCTTGTGCGTAAGTAACAACTCCGGAGAAGGGTTAAAATACCCTTTTATTCTAACTCAAAATTTATATTTAGAGATGACTCATCTTGGGCGTACAAGAAGCTTCTACTTTAACTCAAAATAGAAAATACAAATTAATCTAATACTAAAATCTAATCAACTGAAGCTGCACAGAATGAAACTCACGGTGTTGGCCCTTATTAATGATGACCGGCGTATACTAGCAGGCACATATTAAGTATGGCCGTGGAATACCAAGCTTTAAACAATAGCAACAATGTGGCCGAAAGGCAGAACACTCTCTCCTACTGAAGTGACTCAGATTTTACGCGAATCTAATGCGCATCGTTTTTGGCCAAATGTAGTATTCAAAATTGGGGTGCGCATTAGATTCGATGGCGCATTAGATTCGAGTGCAAAGTTCGCCGATGACGTCAACCGAATTTCTCGACTATATTTACCGTTACATTTATCGGTGACACATTATTGCGAAGAGGATACAAACTGCAGAGTACGTAGTCACGAAATGGAGGGCAAACAGAGAAGAATGTTATGTGACGCTACTTTCAAACATAAAGTAATTCTTTATGCTGAAAAAATGGCAATAGAAAGGCAGGGAGAGAGTTCAACGTAGCTGAGAGCAATGTTCGCTTGTGGCGGCAACAGAAATTGGCACTGTTTGCAACTAAAGCTAGTAGAAAGAAATTCACTGGCCCTCGCAAAGGAAGACACCCTAAAATTGAAGAAAACGTTTTGGAATTTGTACGTGAAAGGAGGAAGAATGGACAACCTGTGACTAGTGACACCATAAGAAATAAAGCAAAAGAGGAGGCTGAAGTTCTTGGAATACCGAAACAAGAGTTTAAGGCTAGCCGTGGATGGGTGGATCGGTTTATGAAGCGGATGGGTTTATCTCTAAGACGCCGTACAACAATATGCCAAAAGCTTCCTGCAGATTTTGAGGGAAACCTACTAACATTTCAGCGGTATGTCATCACACTTCGGAAGGAAAAGAATTTTTCAATGGGGCAAATTGGCAACGCTGACGAGACGGCAATTTGGTTTGATATGCCTCGTAACTACACCATTACGGAGAAGGGGACTAAGGAAGGTATCATCAAAACTTCGGGATGTGAAAAACAACGCGTAACAGTGATGCTTGCAATAACAGCAGACGGGTGCAAACTTCCCCCTTTCTTAATCCTCAAATGGAAAACATGCCCTAAAACCCCTAAGAATGAAAAGCTGTTCCCAGATGATGTCCTGATTCGAAACCAAGAGAAGGGGTGGATGACGGAATCATTAATGCTTGATTGGCTCCGAAATGTATGGAAACGCCGTCCCGGTGGGTCCCGGGTCCACCATCAATGCTTTGTCTGAACGCATTTCGTGGTCGCACCGACGACGTAAAAAAGAAGATGCACAGCCTAGGCAGTGATCTTGTTATCATTCCTGGAGGGATGACGTCTGTGTTACAACCCCTGGACGTTAGTATAAATAAACTTTTTAAGGGGTACGTTCAGGCGGAGTACGAAAAATGGTTTTGTGAGCCAAACCGTGTATTGACCCCGACAGGAAAAATTAAGCCTGCTGTACCGCACATTGTTGCACACTGGGTTTCTGCTGCCTGGAAAAGCATCGAAGCACCAATGATTGTGAAATCTTTCAAGAAATGCTGCATTTCAAATGCATTGAATGGCAGTGACGATGACGTGCTCTGAAACGCCGAGGATGAGGATGACGATGATGAGGAAAGAAGAAATGAATCTGCTTCTGACGAAGAGAGCTGCGAGGATTCCAGTGATGAAAACATTAGTGAATAAAGACGTTTACTATTAATCACTGATTGTAGAAACTGTTAGCTAGATAGAAATGTTACGATTTATTTCATGTTCATATTTTACGATAGGTACCGTATATACGGTAGTGCTAATTAACAATGATTGTTTCACATGACAATAGCCCACTAATAGGTTAATTCTATGTTCTGCTGCTTTGTGTATAAATCCATTGTTGTATAAAATATGGTATCTAAATTTAAATAAAATTATCATACCATTAATTGATAGTTTATATACAAATCCATTGTTGTATAAAATAAGATTCAATAAATTCCTCATATCATTGATGCGCATTACATTCGCCGACAAACAATTTTTTTATTATTTAAAGTTTTAAAATGGGGATGCGCATTAGATTCGATGGCGCATTAGATTCGCATAAATACGGTACTCGTTTCTACTTTATTGGCATAAATGGTAATACTGAAAACTCATCCTGGCAAGGAAACGCAGGTACAAAATTAGAAGGTAAGAGAAAGGCTTGTTCAAAAAAAAAAATAACTATTAGGAAAGTAAAGTAAAACCCTACAGTATTACTGTAGAGAAATAGGATCATAAATGTAAGGCACAGAAATAGGATCATAAAAGTAAGGCACAGAGGGATCACAACGCACAGTAATTAGTTTAGTAGCACTAGTTAGCCTTTCGGAGAACTATAGGTGCGTTTGATGAGTGTTCATCCTGAAAATAGCGTTTCTACAACAAAACGTTTCAGTAACCGAAGCACATGTGGACATATGCTTTTATCAGCTGAAAGCAACAAACTGATCAACATTTGTAGAAGTATGCTTCCCATGTATGGAAAACATTTCATTTCAAGAAAACTAGCTATCCATAAGTGTAACGCACATTTCAGAAAACATTGTGAAAAACCTATTAGGCGACGCAAGACTGCGCCGATAGAACGTAATGGTTACCCTTCTGGAACGAAAAGATGAATGTCTGAGAATCGATCACAAGATGACCATATGTTTCGTGAAGCAGAAACTCAATAAGAATGATGGCACAATGTCAGCATTTATGAAAAGCCAGAAAGTAAGAAAAGAAAATGTGCTCACTATTCCAAAGATTTAACGATGCATAGAACAGATCTTACTTTACAGAATTTCCTGAAGTACCAAACAAAGTCGACTTTACAGAGTATGATAAAACATGCTTAACGAAGAATTTTTCAGCTGAATTACCCAGTACTACACAGTAAGCTATTGCTCCTGGTCAATCCTAAGTTAGGTAACGTTACCCTATTATTGTCCATTCCCTATCTTCATGAAAGAAAGTTCCAGGCGTTGTTATCTTTTCATTTGGACCAAATAAAATGCTCCAAGGGAATATATAAGACTACCATTTTCTTTCTTCTATCTTGACAAGGTAATTGACGAGATATGGGGCTATGGCATGTATGTCTTAATCAATCGCTGGGGAACGATAATTAAAACCTGTAGTCACTACCATAATTGGGGCGGTGTAGACGGTGGTGCAAGATTTTGGTTTGGTTTATTTGAATATGGCAAAGCAGTCAAGAGCTGTCTGTCTAAGGGAAGGGATGCCTTCATGGAGGACTTTCTAAGGGAAACTGGCCGCTCCGCCGCTGGTGGGCCGGTGAAGCAATATATACGGTTTCTTCCTGCACCAGCTACTGGAAGCACTGTATTAAATTCCACAGCGTACAGAAGACATTATGAACCAGAGCTACACAGCAAGTACTTCAGTAGTTTGTATACCTTTTTCTCGCGTCACAAGAATAAATGATGCCTTATTTTTAGGCTTGTAAGATACATCTTGTCATAGCGGATTAAAATTATACTATTTATTGCTAAGAGAAATTACACTCCCTCTAGCTTTTCTATATCAACATAACCAGATATGTCTAATGTCACGCAGCTACTCAGTAAAAATTTAGTATTATAATTACAAGAAATAAATTAGTATTACATTAAGAAAATAAGTAAACTTGTCTCACCCAGTGCTTCTTCTTTCGTAATAGCATCTGTTCTGAAAAGGGAAATTAAAAAATTTTAAAACAGTGTTAAAAAAAATTTTTTTTGTATGGTAATATAGCAATTCAACAATAGCGTTTAAAATAACTAAAATAATATTATTAAATGATTTAACATAAAAATTTACTCTTTTTTTATCTAATTACAATTTTAGTTATTTAAATATAACTACTTTATGTTCTCCATGAAGGCTTCCCATCCCTTGGGCAGGAAGTTGACAGATCCGTTTAATAGTTTGCTTGTACTTCAGTGTTTGCTTTTTAATCAAGCGATAATAAATTTTTGAATCCTTTTCAATAGCCTATACATACAAGTATGTCAGTTTAAAACAAAACTGGTTATTCCTGGATTTTTCTTATTTTTTTATTTTCGAATATTTTACAGTAACACAATATTAGGATCGAAAAAAATGTCTTTTAATGTAATTTAATGTAATGTAAAAAAATGGCTTCTGGTGTAATTATTTTTTTTATTTTAAGGGGGAGGGGAAGAATCGTGAGCAATTTCGGTAATTCAGCTTAATAATGGTTCTACAACTCATCTATTGGCATCAGCTCATAAGTAACATTTCTACTAAAAGAAATAATTTGTTTAATAACTGCACTATTGTTGTTGTGACTTACCTCACTTATCTAACAGTAACATCAGAGCAAGCCCACGAAATTCACCGTGGCAAGGAGAGCTAGATTTCGCCTGTCGTTCGCAAGAGCCTTGAGCACAATGCAGGCGACAGTATGACTTCACTCAGTTCCTCCCCAATTTTGATGGAGAGCAGGAGTCCAAGGGTCTCCCCTCACCCCACCCTTTCTTCTCCTACCACCCACTTCTCGAGAGCTCGCCTTGTATTTAAAGTGTCCCCATGCTGCAATGACACTATACACTTACAAGCATCCACACTTTCTCCAGGATTCGAACCCGGGTGCTTCGGTATCGCAATAGACTCCCCTAACCTTATACCCGCTGGGCGGCATACCTGCATTTCGTTTATCATAAACAGCGTTTTCTAGTGGATCTGAAATATGCGAAAATTCATAGGTTATTGCTTGTAATTATTTTCCTTGTTATGATTCAAATCATTGGTTCCAAAAAGCAGCATTGCATTTAAACATATCGCTGTAGTCAGAATTTAACTATGACTAGCTTTAATTTAAAAGAAATAATTTAAGTTAAAACTCGAAACTTTCGGTTCATCTTCAAGCACTATATAAACTATCTTTAGTAGTACCCAAAGATCAAAGTTTTTGCAATGTACTCAAATGTTCTGATTCTAAGGGTGAATGAATTTCTATTTCATTTCTATTATATTTTACTTCAGACCCGTATTCTTTATACTTATAGCTTTCTCTTTTCCTGCAATATTAATAAAAAAAAACTCTTTGTTCCTTCCCTTTTATCTTCTGCGATTTATGATATAGTCACATATACAAAGGTATTCTAAAGAGTTTACTTGTTTTATGTAGTTTTCATTGCTCTTAGAGATGTCTCTCAGCCAAAAAAGTTTCTGACTGGAGCGTATCATTTTAATTAAAATCTTTAAAGCAAAGTTTGATTAGAATCCTTTCGTTAATAAAAAAACTTTTACTTACATGTATCGAAAATCTATTGTATTCACTAGTTTTTCTGGATCCTGAAACAGAGTTGAAATTATTAATTCAAAGCATTAATGTGGCAAAACAAATTTTTCTGACAAAAAAGGCCTGCAAATATAGTAGGTTTTCTAAAAGAAATTCTATCTCAACATAACACATCAGTAAAGAATACTATTACGAATATTGTACACATAATCTGAGTGAAATTATGTGGGAAATCGTTCTATTTTTTCCTGTATAATGTAACATGAAAATCTAAAGAGATGATGTTCTGCCGAAAAAATAAAAATAAAGGGGCAAGTCTTTTTAATATTGAGTAAATAGCTTTCTCGTTAATTTGGCGAGATATAGCCAGGCTGGCGATGATTTTGGTGACTAATTTTTACGCCAAATATGACGGGAGTTTGCCTAAAGTCGCCAAAGTTGGCGACCTTTTGTTCCGGTCCCTGTATTACCATAATAGGTATTGTAATTGATTTCATATGCAACTGTAACTGTATACTCAATACGCCTTCCAGTAATTTTGAGAAGTACTAGTTTTCCTTGACGGCCGGATTAAAACTATATAAGAGAACTATAGCCAGAGTGAAAACTATAACCCGAGGAGAACACCTGCTCTCAGTTATTAGTTCAGCGTGAGTTTGGAATACTGAGATGTCTCCGGGTTAGCTTCGCTCTTTAGATATGCCTTGCATTGCTTTGTGTTTAATGTTCTTAGTAGTTTGAAGTGTAACTACTGATTGCACCCTGTAGTACTGTGAAGAGTTGTAGGACTATTTTTGTGGAAAGTTCCAGAACTGTAAAGTGTTTCTTTGGATAAAAAAAGTTTACCAAGCTATTATTAATTCTGTGTGCATCCAATCTATTACGAACCTGTACGCACGCAACAGTACTAAATACTTATAAATATAGTTTGAGTAATCACAGTATAAATATTATCGAGAAAAGAGAAGAGGTGAAGACATGGAAGAAAAGATTTCTTAAAGGTAGGAAAAGTGTACAGAACACAATCCAGTAACAGCACATTAATATTGTAAAATATTCAGGTGGCTGTAATAATATCAAAATCATAAATGTAGAATAAATATCCTAGTAAAATTTTCAGCAATAATGTTTTTACTGAAAAAAAAAATGTTTATACGATCTCGAACCATTGAAAAATATTAGTTTTTAGATCTTTTGCCGACTCTATGTTTCCACAAACAAAAACAAAAAAATTTCGCGATGCTAATATGTATTCATGAGAAACATAGTCTGCCAAAAATTTCCTCGATGAAACCAGTCCTTAACACTATGCGGCTGTTCACATTTTTGGTGAGAGGAATCGTCCTGTCCATCACCCTGAATACCACAGTTCGGAGCAGACCTGCTTAACACTTAAAGGACAAGCAGATGAATTTACGTTCTTCCATTCTCGCTTCCCATGACAGGCAACGTAGAATTACGTTATTGCTTGAATTTTTATTACGCTGCGTTAATTTTTCATTTTTATGCGTACTGGGTTTATTTCTTGTTGCCATTAATTGCAGTACTTTCTGTCGGTTGAACCAACTCTGCAGTTTCACTTTTTAGGTAGTTGTTTTAGTAATTTTGTAACCGTTAAAATGGGAAGCCCAAACGAGCTTTCTGTTCAAGATGCGTAAATCTGTGAGGAAATTTATGTAGTTAAGTTATCACAATGTAGGATGCGCTAATGAATTAAGAAAGTGTAAGCGAAACAAGATATAAATGTCAATTCTGTCAGGTTTCACTTCACAAGATTGAATGTTTTACAAAATATCATACTCGTAAGAAATACTAGACATGTAAATAAATAAGTTCGTAAACTTTGGAATTCTTTGAAACACTAATATTATTAAAAATAGTTATTTATTTAATTTAAAATAGTTTATTAAAACTGAAACGATTTAAAACCGTACATACACCGAAGTGACAAAAGTCATGGGATACCTCCTAATATTTTGTCAGTCCTCCTTTTGTGCAGCAACTCGACATGGCAAAGTGCAGCAACTCGAGGTGGCATGGACTCAACAAGTCGTTGGAAGTCCCCTGCAGGAATATTGAGCCATGCTGCTTCTATAGACGTCCATAATTGTGAGAGTGTTGACGGTGCAGGGTTTTGGGCACGAACTGACCTCTCGATGATGTCATATAAATGTTCGATGGGATTCATGTCGGGCGATCTAGGTGGCCAGATCATTCGCTGGAATTGTCCAAAATGTTCTTCTAACCAATCGCGAACAATTGTGACCCGGTGACATGGCGCATTGTCATCCATAAAAATCCCATCGTTGTTTTAGTACGTGAAGTCCATGAATGGCTGTAAGTGATCTCCAAGTAGCTGAAGGTATCCATTTCCAGTCAATGATCGGTTCAGTTGCACCCAGAGGACCGAGTCCATGCCATGTAAAAACAGCCCAGACCATTATGGAACCACCACCAGCTTGAACAGTGCCTTGTTGACAAATTGGGTCCATAGCTTCGTGGGGTCTGCGCCACACTCGAATCCTACCATCAGCTCTTACCACCTGAAATCGTGACTCATCTGACCAAGCCACAGTTTTCCTATCGTTTAGGGACCAACCGATATGCTCACGAGACCACCAGAGTCGCTGCAGGCGATGCCATGCGGTCAGTAAAGACACTCGATTCGGTCTTCTACTGGCATAGCCCAAGGAAGACAAATTTCGCCGCACTGTCCTATCGGACACGTCCCTCGTACGTCCACATTGATTTCTGCGGTTATTTGACGCAGTGTTGCTTGTCTGTGAACATTGACATCGCTGGTCTCGGTCGTTAAGTGCAGGTGGTCGGCCACTGCGCTGTCCATGGTGGGATGTTATGCCTGAAATTAGATACTCTCGGCACACTCTTGACACTGTGGATCTCGGAATGTTGAATTCCCTAACGATATCCGAAATGAATTGACCCATGCGTCTAGCTCCAACTACCATCCCGCGTTCAAAGTCTGTTAATTCTCGTCGTGCGGCCATAATTACGTCAAAACCTTTTCACATGAATACCTTGAACACAAATGAAAGCCCTGCCAAAGCACTTCGCATTTATACATTTTATACGCAATACTACTGCCATCTGTATATTTGCATATTGCTATCCCATAACTTTTGTCACTGTTTACTCAATAACCTTAAAAATGCCCAGAAGCCGAGGAAGACAAAGAAAAAGCAACCCGTCCGTTAAGTGTAAAGTTTCTAAACCGGAGTGTCAGTTAATCACATCCTCAGAGTAGGAAAACCGATATTCAAAACAGGTTCCAATGTCCGGATCAGTCTCTACATTAGTCGGAGTCAAAAGCTGTTATTGTGAGTCGCTACCTCAGGATCTGAATGCATCAGCACCTTCTTACATCGTTTAAACAACAGTCTTGAATGGAGTTTCGGTTATCATCGCTTTTTTGGTAATTGCACATTTTCGTATTCCCTTTCCTTACGCCCAGGAGACGAGATTCAGGGCTCCCATCAATGTAAACAGTAATTCTCAGAATATCGTCATCAATAAGAAGCTGAGATAATTGCAGATTCATGAGACATCAGAAGATGAAGCATAAGACTTATTTTTAGAAGAGCAGCGACGAAGAAATTCCAGCTAATTCTCCAGGAAAAAAAGCTCGTCGGGTAAACACGGCCCCAGCCCGCTTGCGCAGGTAAAGCAGCAGCAAGGCAAGCTGGCCCCAGTTCCTTACTATTTTATTCTCATTCCTGGAAGGTTTAGACAAATTTGAATTTTTACTCTCGCGCAACCCTCGAAGAAATTTCGGTTCTCTGGCCACCTAAATTCTGCAAACAGAACAATAAAATTTAAAATTATACTTGACCAACCGGATGTATTTTCTTCTCCAAACCAATAGAAACAACACTGATGTAACAAATACTGTAGCCTTGGCACCTGCCAACTGCCTGCAGCAAAGAGTCACGTACGCGTGGAACAAAATTCGACACCTGTTCTCCTTAGAAGCAGCAAATCTTTTATTTCCCTTTCATTAATTAACTACCAGCACAACAAAAGCTTTGCCATCAGATCAAAAACAAATCCCACGCAGGACCTTAACTTCAAAATAACAATTTATTCTTCAAACTGAAGCTTTTCCCGTCTTCACAACAAAGCCGAACAAGATAACCTTAAATGCTCTTACTTTCATTCACAGCTTTCTAAGGAGTTCCTTCTGAAGACAATTACCAAGTAACTAATAATTTCCTGTTTTAATTACCAAAACAGATGTTCAGGAAAACATTCCTTGCTCTTCGTTAGAAAACTAAGAGGCCAAAATAATGTAAAGAAAGATTTTAACCCGCCAAAAAATAGGTTCTCACTATATTAGTCAACAACCAGTTTTAATTTAAGTAAAACCTTAATAACAGTTAATTAAAATATATTATCACAATTAAAATTTGGGAGACAATAGGTTTCAGATGCTAAAATATGTTACTTTTAATTGAAATTAAAATTTTGTAAGACACGAAAAATCGATTTCATATACCGCAGCTCTTTCCATAAACTAAAACGTGGCTTAAATGAAAGAATTTAATTATAAAATTAATAATTCCGTTTACATGATCATCGAATTTATTAATAATGGAACTAAAAAATTCAGTTTTATATAATTTTATAACAATTAAGAAGGAATAAAAATATAATTTTTACCATGTCCGTGAGCAATTTCCAAAGAGGTTTGTTCTCCCTTCTTGCCCATAAATCCCAAAGGGCATTTATAATAGCCGCTGTAGCGAGATGTATTACACCTTTTTCAGGTCCTATCTGTAAAAACGAAAACCACAAATAAGATTCAAGCATAGAAAATTTCAAATTCCATGCATTCAATTTATTTACCCATTCAAGCATGAGTTAATTACATAAGAAACACATGCTTTGTACATGTCTTTCTGAAATAAAAGCTATCGATTAGAAATTTTCATCCAAAAATTTTCCTGAATATCTCTATTTCAAGAGGTAACTCGGAAAGTAGTTTTATTGTTGTTGCTCACCTGTCTGACGTATAGTCAGCTCAAGGCCACGAAATTCCTCGTGGCAAGGAAGGCAAGGTTACGTCTGTCGTTGGCAACAGCCCTGAGCACCATAAAGGTGACAGTACGATTTTAGCTCAGTTCTGCCCCCAATTTTCATGGAGAGCATCCACTCCTCTTCCCCTATCACCAACCTCTCGAGAAAACTTTCGGTTCACCGTATATTTATAGTGCGCCCAAGCCGCATGGACACTATACATTTACAAACATCCATGACTTCTCCGGGATTCGAACAGGAGAACTGCGCCACGGCAGTCAGCGACGATAACCACTGCACCGTTTTGGGTGGGTCAAAAGCAATTTTATCTTTATCGTTGGTGTGTGGTAAATAAAACTAAAACATTAATTCATAATTTTAGTAATTACATTTTTGGTTAGTTTTTAGCAAACTTCAATTGATAATTCTTTCGTTTATCATTGCCTTTTTCCATTAACCAAATTATAAAAAGTTGTTTAATTTCAGAATATGAGATATGCTTTAATTATTTCAGTTTGTAAAGAGCATATCTTTAGAATTTCCGATACACAGTTTCGCTGGAGATAAAAAGTTTTTTTTTTACCCCGGCCGTGGAATGTTGCCATTGCTGGCTTTTAAATCGTTGAGTTTGTTACTCAAAAATTCGTTAAAGTTTTACAAAATATGAAATCGATAATAAAACAAATTTCAAATTTGGTCTTCAACATGCCCATATTCGTAGGAAGATTACGTCATTCAAAATTCGCTGGTTCTATGTACCGTTGTTTTATCACAAAGTGAGAAATAGACATACATTTAAGCAGATTTTTCATTATTTAATTTCTTCAAATATAATGCGAGACTCTAACATTTGGCAATAGTTTGAAAAGTGAAACGGACATTTATAGTGGTTCAACGCAAAATCGCAAAACGAAAACAATAGTCCGTCAGGAACAAAGCCCCTTTGGACTAATAATAATTCCAAGACATGTGCAATTCAACGGGTATTATTAGTGTCCCTGTTACTTAAAACTTAAATGCCTTAACATTTCGCTTATACTTCATCTTAATTTGCCAACTGTACTGAAAGGTTGCATTAACTGCATAAATTTTCCGATAAGTAATTAAATCTAGTGATTAAAATTGGTATTTTATTAATGATCTCACCAAGCAAATTTATTACTCCTCGCATATATAATTCCAAATACCTTTCTAAAGCAACAGTTTTATTTGCAAATAAAACTGTTGCTTTAGAAAATTTAGTATAATAATTACTTTCTGCATAGTGCGATATTTTTAGTTTTACGCCGGCATTTGTATTAGCTATGAAGAAAGTTAATCATTTTTCAGTGTCATAGTTATAATACTCATTTTCTATGTATATTATATACTAGTGGAAGTACCCGATGCCAGTTAAGTTAGATTCAGAGTAACGTGTCTAACAACAGAGAAACGATATCGCTATAATCCTTCTCTAATAATGATGCAAAAAAATACGCTTCATAGTCATACATTTCAACAGGAAAATAAACTAATTCTCTATCATTATATCAGCACCAATGACTCGCAATTTTTAATGATTTTTGTCTTTCTAATCAAATGATTGCAAAAGTTCAAGTTCCATCCAATATTTCACCTATATTCAATTATAGTGGCCACAGTGGTAATAAATGTGGCAAAAAATTTATCATAATTCACCATTCTTCTTTGCAAAACTTACAAATATTTTATTAAAAAACTCTACGATTTAAAAGCGAGCAGTAGCAAGACTTTTCGAAATCAAGCACTTTTATCTCTAACGCGAGATACTGTTGCCACTCGGAAAAATTAGTGCGAAAATGAGTGTTTTCAGAGTTTTTAATTAATAGCTCGGCTGATTAAAGTCGTCCGAAGCTGGGACTAGTCGAAATGGCTTTCCACGAATTTTTGGAATCCGGAATAATGTATTCAATGTTTGGCAATGCTATTTTTATTTCATTGTAAAACTTACGAATTTTTGATTAACAAACTCTACGATTTGAAAGCGAGCAGTGGCAACACTTTTCGAAATAAAGCAGATTTTTATCTCCAGCGTGCGAGACTGTTGCCACTCGGAAAAATGAGGGCGAAAATTAGCGTTTTCAGAGTTTTCAATTAATACCTCTAATTTTAGCTACTTTTATTTTTAGAAAAAAGTGGACCTACAAAAGAATTGTAGAAAGTATGGTGACGATATCTATAGTAATGGCTGAGTTAATCGCGAACAAACACACATAATTTCTTCTTTATATAATACATAATATACAATTATCATATTATGCATATATAATACAATCACTCGTAAATACAGTTATCGAAAACAGTGAGAATTACGAAAAAGATATCATAAGAACGCTTTCTCTAAATTATTTCAGGGAAGGGATGTACCAAAATGCCGAGTTCCGTAGAAAAAAGGAATATCTAAGGATTTTTAGTTGCAATTAAAAAGTAAATTTAGTTATCTAGAGTTTTTTCATCATTAAATACGAAACACAAATTCAAACGGAAGTCACTATCAAAGAGAGCGCAACATTTAGTTATGACATTAAAGGAAAACTATCTCGCTCTGCTCACTCAAATTTCTAAAGAAATTCAAAATGCCTCTACCTTTAGCATAACGAGATCAAATCCTCGTAACCAACCTCATTTAAAATATTATTGAAAAGCAGTGATTAAAAGAACTTTAAAAAATATTAAGAACATATTTAAAACATATTTATGATAAGGTAAAGCGCATTTTAAAAGCGAAGTACTTCTGTCGTACTTCCTAACTCAGTTTCCATCTAAGCAAATTAATAACGATTAACAATAATGACAGCGAATTTGAACTAATTAAAATATCATGTCTATCAAGATAATGTTAAATGTAAGCAATAATTATCTATAAATCTTACAAATCTAATCTTATAAATCTAAGCAATAATTATCACAAGAAAAAGTTTTCCTATCTAATTATTTCGTCTAATGAACTATCAAATTTATTTTAATTCAAAAATATTTTTTTAAAAATATTCTTTGTTCTTCTAATGACAAATACAATTAAATTGACAGAAAGAAAATATTAATTAATGGATTTTCAAACGCTGCATAAGAAATTCTGAAACTTCAAATATAATGTAATAATATTAATTTAACAATATATCATCAATAATTTACTTTAAACTAAACTCAGTGGCGTAACAGACCTAATGGACAAAGGCCTGCAGTGCCCGAAATCTGCTTTCTCGACCATGAGTCCCGGGGTGTGTAAGCATATGCCCTGAACAAGTGGTCAGTTTGTTCTATCGACCCAAGTGATGGAAATCAAGGGATGAAAGGCACGTCATCCTTGCCCAGCCCGGTAATCGAGCCCCGGACCTGTGGTGCTGCTGCGAAATGCGCTAGCCACTGCGCCACCGGGCCTCAATAATTTACTTTGCTGAAGTTAAAATTATGATAATAGAAATACTAAAAAAGAATAATTTCTAACTAATTCTTTAAAACTTCTAACAAAAGAAAGTAATTTTGAAATTATAAAAGCAAATGTAAGAAGAAAAAGAGACTTTGTCCCAGCCCGGTAATCGAGCCCCGGACCTGTGGTGCTGCTGCGAAATGCGCTAGCCACTGCGCCACCGGGCCTCAATAATTTACTTTGCTGAAGTTAAAATTATGATAATAGAAATACTAAAAAAGAATAATTTCTAACTAATTCTTTAAAACTTCTAACAAAAGAAAGTAATTTTGAAATTATAAAAGCAAATGTAAGAAGAAAAAGAGACTTTGTCTTTCCAAACAAATATCAAACTGAAACAATCGTTATTTGTTAATTCAATCCTTGTTAGCCCAAAAGAGACTTTAGTCCTAAAAGGGGTATTAGTCTCGAAACGGCATTTTCCGTTGCTCCACAATAAACGGCGTATCACTTTCGATTTGTTGCCACCAAATATTATCGCTGTGCATTATATTTAAAGAAGTTAAATAATGAATAATCTGCATAAATATATGTATGTTTCTCGCATTGTGATGAAACATGATATCTAGAGCCATCAAATTTTGAATAACGTACGTCTCAATCCGAATATGGGCATCTGGAAGACTAAATTTGGCATTTGGAATGTGCTTTATTTCATATTTTGTATTTTGTAAAGCATTTATGAGTTTTTCATTAAGAAACTCATCGATTTCAAAGCGAGCAATGGCAACACTGTACGGGGGGGGGAACATTTTTATCTCCAGAGCACGAGACTGTGAATCGGAAATTCTAAAGATATGCTGTTTTAAATATTTTGTGATATTGCTGCTGAATTGAATTTTATGATTTAAGTGAGAAGAACTTGATATTTAATAAATAAAGGTGACACACAAAACGTTATAAAAAAAACGCCCCTTGGGGTTTAATAATATAAAAATCTGAAGTGGTTTTTTTAGTCCAAAGGGATTTGAATCCCGAAGGACTATTAGTTTCGTTTTGGCATTTTGCGTCGGACGGATAAATGTCAGTTCACTTTTCAAAACTGTTGCCATAAAATGTTTAGAGTCCTGCATTATATTTGAAGAAATTAAATAATGAAAATCTGCGTAAAAATAAATGTATGTATATTTCTCACATTGTCATAAAATAACGGTACATAGAGTCATCGAATTTTGAATAACGTAATCCTCCAACGAATATGAGCATGTGGAAGACCAAATTTGAAATTTGAAATTTGTTTTATGATCGATTTCCTATTTTTTAAAAACTTTGACGAATTTTGATTAAACAAAACTCAAGGATTTCAAAGCGAGCAATGGCGGCGACGTTGTGCAGAGAAAAAACATTTTTATCTCCAGCGCGTGAGTCTCTGTATCGGAAATTCTAAAGATATGCTCGTTTTAAAACTATTTTGCGATATTGCTGTTGCACTGGATCTTATGGTTTAAGTGCGAGGAACATGATATTTAATAAAGAAAGGTAACACACAAAATGTTAAAAAACGCCCCTTTGGACGTAATTTAAAATCTGAAACATTTCAGAATTTTTTTTTTTTTTTTTTTTTTTTTTTTTTTTTTATAGTCCAAAGGGATTTGAATCCCGAAGGACTTTCGTTTTGGCATTTTGTGTCGGATAAATATTGGGTCACTCTTCAAACTGTTGCCACAAATTGTCCTACATTATATTTGAAGAAATTAAATAATGTATGTAATTGTGATAAAACGACGGTATCTAGAGCCATCAAATTGTGAATAACGTAATCATCCACTGAATATGGGCATCTGAAATCCCAAATTTGAAATCTGGAATTTGTTTTATTATCGATTTCATTATTTTGTAAAATTTGAACCAATTTTTGAGTAACAAACTCAACGCTTTAAAAGCAAGCAATGGCAACACTCTACGGGGAAAACAATTTTTTTTATCTCCAACGCCTCGAACTGTTTATCGGATACTCTAAAGATATGCTCATTTTAAAATTATTTTGTGACATTGCTGTTGAACTAAATTTTATAGTTTAAGTGCAAAGAACATGATATCATGATATTTAATATACGAGTATAAAAGTGACACGCAAAACGTTAAAAAAACGCCCCTTTGGACGTAATTTAAAATCTAAAACATTTCAGTTTTTTTGGGGGGGAGGAGGGAGGGAGGGGGAGATCATTATTTTTTCTTCTTAGTGAAGAAGAGGGAAGAAACAAATGTACACGGAAGGCAATGTAGATTACGCATGTCAGCATCTTTGAGTTCCTCTTGACAACAAGCATTGTGAATGTTTCAATAATCTCCTGATCAAAATCAAAATTCCCTACCCAGACAGAAACTGCTTATGCACTATAAAAAATATGCAAGATTTAAAAAAAACATTGAGTTTTAAGTATCTAAACAAAGATAAATTTTACCCATCTCAGCTGAGAATCACTTGTCAGTTCTCTCCAGAAATTAGCAAAGTTGTTGTAAATTGACATTAAATTCCGGCCAATAAATAATCGTGATAAAGCTTTCACAGCAGTTACGACTAAAAAGAAAAAAATATATTATTATTATTATTAAGTCAAAATATATATTGTTCTTTACTTTATAATATTGCTTAAAAATACAATTTTATCAAAAATATAATCACAGAAAAGAGGATTATATCTATTTCAAAAGACAAGAATGAATGTCCATTGTAATATAAATATATGTAACATCTCACTACACTTTAGTGTAATTCAGCAAAATATGAAATGCAACTCCAATTAAAACACTGCTTTTTAGTCCAAAGGGGCTTTGTCCTTGAAGGACTATTGTTTTCGTTTTGCGATTTTGCGTCGATTCACTACAAACGGCGAATCACTTTTCAAACTATTGCCACGAAGTATTATCGCCCTGTGTTATATTTAAAGAAATTAAATAATGAAAAATTTGCATAAATGCATGTATATTTCTCGCATTGTGATAAAACAACTCTACATAGGGCCATCGAATTTTGAATGACGTAATCCTCCTACGAATATGGACATGTGGAAGACCAAATTTGAAATTTTGAATTTGTTTTATTATCGATTTCATATTTTGTAAAACTTTAACGAATTTTTGATTAACAAACTGAAGGATTTCAAAGCGAGCAATGGGAACGTTGTACAGAAAAAAACATTATCGCGTGAGTCTCTGTATCGGAAATTTTAAATATATGCTCATTTTAAAACTATTTGCCATATTGCTGTTGAACTGAATTTTACGGTTTAAGTGCGAAGAACGTAAAATTTAATAAATAAATATAACGCACAAAATGTTAAAAAAAGTCCCTTTGGACGTAATTTAAAATCTGAAACATTTGAGACATTTCAGATTTTTTTTTTTTTTTTTTTTTTTTTTTTTTTTAATCGATATACATTAAATCATTACTAACTGATTTTAGCACATTTTCAGATTATCTTCATACCCCAGAGAGCCATTTATGTACTGATACTCTGATAGTCTTGGATCTGAGAGTATACTACGTACGGTGTTTACGAAGTTTTAGGAACTGAACTCTAGTTCAATTCCTAGAGTATATGAAATGTTATCGGTCATAGACAAGGCTTGATAAATTTATGCAACTATCTTGTGTATGTTTAGTTCAATTAAACTGCGTAATTTAATTCAATTCAGTTGCGAACTGCGTCTGTATTTGACTACGTAGTTCTGTAGCACGTTTTTTTGCAACCACGGGGGGAACGAAAGCTGCGAGAGAGCAAGGAGAAGGGGATGAAAAGAAAAGAGAGAAAGGAAAGAGAATGACAGTACTTTTCAGTTGGGGTGTTGGAAAGAAAAAAGGAAGAGTGTGTGAAACCCCCTCAGAAGAGGTTTCAAAGTAAGTATGGCAAGTAGGAAGAGGTGTATTCGGTTCCCAACAGGTGCGGCGCACCAAAGGCGGGGGCAGAGTGGGAAAAAAATAAGAAGAAAAAGAAAAAAAAAGGAGAAAAAAAAAAAAAAAAAAAAAAAAGAAAAAAAATCTTTAAAGGGCTGTTGTAAAAAATTTAAAGGGGGCTGCTTGGTTCGGATTATGGACCAGTTTAACCCATTCCCTGCCATGATTCCGCCCATAAACATTTCTATTTAATGTCATTGTGAACCAATACATGTTGCACCGGGGTGGTCCCCGTGGTTGGGTTCATGCTTTCATGAAGGATTTTTGACCAAACCCACCCAAAGGGTTTTTTTAAGAAAGAATAGAGGGGAACTTAAACAACGTTTAAAGTTTATTTTTTATTTTTTTATTGCTCTTCTCGTTACTTTTCACCTGAGGGGAAAAAAAAAAAGAAAGAAAAAAAATAGAAAAAAAAAAACAGAAAAAAATAATAAAAACAAGACAAGAAAAAAATAATGATACACGGTTATTTTTCAACGCACAAAAAAAAGTTACTTTTGGGAAACCAATATTTTTGTTGACTGGAAGTTCCCTCTTGGATCCACTGGTAAGTAAATAATGTATTTATAATATTATTTATCCTGATAATGTAATTTGGATTGATACAAATGAAAACCCTAGGTATTTATCGATCCCCATATTTCGGGGATCCATTGGCTGATACTGACCTGAAAATGTTGTTTTAAAAAAAAAAAAAAAAAAAAAAAAAAAAAAAAATGTTTAATGTTTTAATGTTTTTCCTTTTTTTTTTTCCAGGGGAAAATGTAGTTTTAAAAAAAAATATTCTTTCTTTAAAAGAAATTGTATGTAAACTTCTTTCCATGGTTTTTTTTTTTTTTTTTTTTTTTTTTGCGCCATCTGACGATAAATAGCCCCATTAGATATTGTTGTGAAAATTCCACCCGGGAAGCGGTCGTTGGGTTAGGGTTTTGATTGATTTGATGAGATTTCAGATAAATTAATGAGGAACATGGTGCGATGGACAACTTAATCTTAATTTGATTGATGGAAGAGAAAAGAACAAAGAACCAATACATGTTTCCCAGGTTGTGTTGAAAATTTCACCCGTTTGTGGCAGGATAGGATTATTTGAGGAAAATGTTTCAGTGAATGCAACTGAATCTTCAGCAAATGAAGTAACAAAAGGCATCGGCTTTACCACCTGCTAAAAACAGAAAAGAAGTATTGACTTCCAATTGGAAAAAGAAAGAGTAAGTATTGATTCCAATGGGGAAAAAAAAAGGAAGGAAGAAAAGCGAAGGGCCAAAAAAGGGAAAAACAAAAAAACAACTATATAAAAAAAAAGGATTGGGACAAATAAAAAGCGAAGAAGATAGACCGATATAACGAGTTCTATTAAAAGAGGAAGAATAAAGACCTATAGGAAACTCATTTAAGAAAAGAAGAAGATAGATAGCAAATACATACCCCCCAAGCAATAAAAGGAAGCTAACCTATTGATACATGAGAACAAACAAGACCAAAATAGGGCAAGAGAAACAGAAAAGAAAGGGCTAAAACAAAGAAGAAAAGAAAAGAAAAGAAAACGAGAAGAAAGAAGCCAACCCCGGAAAGTACGTCAAAAAACTATGATGAAAAGGGAGGGAATAGGTGTTGGTATGGTTTGGACTGTGTGAGCTTTGTTGGGGACGAGGAGGGAGGTGGGGAGAGAAAGGGGGGGATAAACTTAAAAAGAGAAGAGGACAGGCGGGGAAAGTAATTTGAAGAAAATATTTTTCGAAATTAACAAGGCCGTCGTCTGCGGACAAATTATGTCCATTTAGAAGACACATCAGGGGGAACAGGGCCCAGACCACCATCCCCGGTTCGCCTGTTTTTGCAAACACAACCACACAAGAAAAGAAAATAAAAAAAAAAAAAAAAAAAAAAAAAAAAAAAATAAAAAAAAAAAAAAAAAAAAAAAAAAAAAAAAAAAAAAAAAAAAAAAAAAAAAAAAAAAAAAAAAAAAAAAAAAAAAAAAAAAAAAAAAAAAAAAAAAAAAAAAAAAAATAAAAAAATTTGATAGAATAGTAGGTAGGAACCCCCGGTTTAGATATTTTTAGTAGAAACAGAATTAAGAATGTTTTTTAGAATTTTAGAATGTTTTGAAACAAAAAAATACTTTTGATTAATTGGAAACTGTTTGTAACCTATATTGTTTCCAGCAAGGTCTTGTTAAATATTACGCAAGATCAGAAAAAAAAAAAAAAAAATGAAGAAAAAAAAAAAAAAAAAAAAAGAAAAAAAACAATCACAATTTCAAGCTTTCTATATAAGTGCCTAAAAAAAACATTTATTGGCAAAACAATACTGAAATACTGTCTTTTAAAATGGTTTACTCATTCACTTCGCAAAGAAGAAACTAAGGAAAAAATATATTGGTGTTGAAAGGATTGGAAGGGAAAAGTGGAATATTATGGTGATGTGTTTTTTTAGTTAGGAGCATTGCAAAACTTATGGAGTTGGAAATAGGTATCTGGAAAATTTATTATTAAAATTTATAAGTAAAAATGTGTATAAAAAAATTTTTTGTTTTGTTAATTTTGAAACGGTGTACACCTACATATCAGTGACAACCGATTTAAGAAAAGGGATTTTCCATAGGGAGTGGTGGAAAAAACGTGCATTTAAAAACTCTTCAACAAGATTCGCCCATTTTGATTGACAAAAGCTTGGAAATAAGCTGCTTGATAGCTGAATAAAGTGGAAAAATACAAAGTGAAAAACAATGGTGGGCCGGGGGGCGGGTGTTTGCGGGGTTGTGTTTTGGGTTTCGGGGTGGTGTTTTTGGGGTTTTGTTTTGTTGTTTGGTTTTCTAAAAAAATTGCGGGCATTGAGAACGAACAACATGGTTCGGTTTAAAACAAAAATGGTTTGTTCGTTAACTATGGACACCATCACTACCTCAAAACCAATTTATTAGTGTTATAAGCCCACAGTGCGGTTTGGGTTCTTTGGGGTTTGGGTTCTTTTCAAAACCAATGGTTTTGCTATCTGTTGTTACACAAACTGGATAGGGATATTGTGATCAGAAATCAAGGTATGAAGGCCAAATCAAAGGGAAAATTAGATAATTATGGATTAAATATAGAAAAAAAGGAAATTTAGAAGGAAAAATTAGATTAAATGAAACAAAGATAGAAAAATTAAGAGATTAAGGTTTTTGAAAAAGCATCAGAAAGCATTGCAAGTGGGAATCTGGGGACATATGTGTTGTTCCTTCAGATGGTTTATCATTCTTCAGACCACCAACACAAAAATATGCTCATAATAAACGTTACTTCGGACCATTTTTTTCACACGATTTTTCTCTGATTGAAAAAAATATTTGAAAAAACAATTGGCCAGGACATTGACGTTAGAGCCAAAACAGGAACTGTTTCGATTCAAGAGAGGCAAGGGAGGAGGAAATGGGGAAGGGAGGCAATATAGATATGAACAAAATGTTCATATTGCAAAACAAAAGAGAGATAAGGAAAAACAAAAAAAAAAAAAAGGAAAGAAAAACGGCGGGCATTATATATTGGGGACTAACCAGATTTTTTTGGTTCCCCGTTAATGAAATTTTAGTCTTGTCACCGTGGAAATCAAATAAAATTGACAAACAGGGTTGTGTAAGCTTT